ATTAAAGTTTTCAAACGGTATGTAGTTAAGTCATAATTTTTGAATGAGGCTTTTTCACATCATTCGATAAACTTGTTTGGCTTTGACTCACCGTCCTTTCTCTATTGCTGACTAATAGGCATGTGAAGAGTGTGTGAAGCACGCGGCTGGCTTGTTGCGCCCGCGCATGCTTCGCGCTCTCGAAGACACACGTGCCAGGCAAATCTCAAACCACACGTGCTTACGGTGCACTGATTAGTGCGGTATTCTTTTAATAATAGTGTTCTACCATGTGTTATATCACAGGTAACACGATGTAATATTTGAAAACTTTAATATTTTGCACATGATGGCACTATCTATACATATACATTAAAAGTCGATTCTATCGCTTAGAGCAACAGCACGGATCGCGGTGGATGCCGGTTCAAGTCTTGCTCTTGTCGTAAATGTTTTTCAATCAAAAATTGTTCTTTATAAGGCAATATTTTCAAAGCCAGCACTCTAGTTTTATATACCTAGTAGTAGCTAAGCTATTACAGACTAAATATTAGTTCTGTGAGGGGTCTATTCGCAGCGATTCCTAGCTTTGCACTTATTTTCTTATGAATTATTAATTTAAAGCGAAAACGTTGCAAGTTGTGAGCTTCAAACTTTTAAATAAATTGTTATTTCTTGCCGCTTGCAAGTATGCGGCACTTCAAGTTTCCTTTTGAAGTTATTCATCGTTTTAAAAGCGTTAGCGAACCATTCGCTTGGCCTATAAACTTCTGGGGTCAACTAAAGGCTTCCACTGTATACTACGAACCTAGGCAGAGTTAGTATTCACGTGACCCGCTGTGTTTACAAACCACAATCAACGTGCGTCAGAAACCACGTGTACTTTTACTACCGAGGTGTTTTTATGTATGTTTTGCTATTTTTATTGAGAATTTTATTACTATCGCGATAAAGCTGAGATTGACATTGAAAATTATGGCGTACGTTAGAAGTTAAAAGGAGGGTTGTTGATCTTTTCGTATAATTGTATACCGTAGGCGTACGTGTTAGTTATATAATTATTGACTAAAAATAATGCTATTTTAAACATTATGATCTTAACGCTAAAAGTAATCTCTTTTATCAGAATCAACGTACGTACGTTTCTAGAGTGATTCTAATATTAAAGTACATAGGTGTAACATAATACACAATGATGTTAATTATAATATTTTTTTTTCTTATTTTTAATATATGATCGCATTTTTTATTTATTTCTCGATCTAAAAACAAAAACTTTAAATTGGCATTTTAATATTTCTATTTCAACTATGTTATTGTACTTGGGTATTAGCTATAAGTTTTCCATGTGAATAAACTAATTGCCCTTTAGAAACTCTGATAATTTCTGTGTTAAAACTTCATGGTACTACACATGAAGTTTTAACACTGTATAAGTACATAATAATGCGATAAGATAAGAAGGTTTTCAAAGGTTACTAATTAGTAATTACTGTCAAATTGTAAATCCAGTTTCTAGGAAATAGGTAATTAGCTTCAAAACAAAACAGGTTCTTGATTTACAACTTTAATAATGTGTTTCACACCGAAAAGTTACTTTGTGATAATTACTTAGAGTTTTAAATATACAAACCTAATTCTATCAATAATTGTATTAATGTATGTATAGTATTGCACTGTTATAAAATTGCTCGTGTATTTATGAGGCCGCTAGAGCAGGAGTAGCCTAACTGCAATTTTATGACTTGACTTACTTATATTTTTATAGAGTTAATCTAAAAAATAACAGTGACCGAAGATTGTTAAAATAATCCTTACACAAATAATAGTATATATTCATTTTCGCCTAAGTTAATTGTGCATCTTTGTTATCCTCTTTATCTAAAATCGTGTATTTTGTTATTAGGCCACTCTGGCTCTAGCAGCCTTATATTCGGGGAAGGTAATAAAATGAAAAATTAGTGAACCATTATCATTATAAAATAAAAATCTTATATAGAATGGACTTTATATGCAACAACTATTATTGGAAACAGACAATTAACCCTCGATCATTTGCAATGAGCATTTTACGGCCCAGGGAAAGCATTTATTATGCACTGATAATTATTTCAAGTTTTGAGAACAAACCGTTATAATAGTCGCAGATTCACTTTCTACGAGTAAAATTTAAACACCATTACAATTGAGAGATAAAGTCCCTTAAAAATCCGCCGATAAATTACCTGAAATAAAAGGATAATCGTTAAACAAATAAAGAGGGAAATAAATCCTACTTGCAGAAGTGGGTCACGGTCGATAAGATGTAAACTGTGTTACCTGTTGCTGGGGCAAAGAGTTTGCCCTATTTATGGGTCAAATTCACTTTTTATTCGCGAAATACTTACAAAACAAAGTTGTTTTGATACGAAAGTCTGGTCTATGTACATTATTTTTGGTTATTATTACTATAATGAATTTAAAAAATAGATTTAGGTAACGAACGTTCTAACGTACGTAACCATCACAGTACAAATAGAGACTACTATTGTTTTTCTAGATTTACAGCAGACTGTAGTTGTGTGAATATGATATAAGTAGTAATTAAAAAGGTAAATAACGAGAACCATTTGAACATACAAAATACCTCTATAATTAATATTTTCTTAAATTATACTGTTCCGAAAAAAAAAACAACAGCTGGGTTACCCCCCTTTATTTTTAATCTATACAAACAAGGAGTGGATTACCATAACTTACTATTTGCATTAAGTTCTTTATGAACAAAGGTCATTCACACGTAATAGCTAAGTACTTATACGAAGATCCTTCCATTGTTCGTAGGAATCCTATGACAACATTCAGTCATTAACTTATCTGGACTTACGAGTAACAGGTAATGTGTTTTAAATGGTACATAGTTGAGTCAGCAGAGAATATTTTTTGCACAATCAGGAACATTCTGGTGTCTCCCTCTTGCATGTGGCTGCCGTGAGAGGTACCCTTTCTTTCTATTTTAAGTGACTCACGACCGTGGAACTAACCGCAAATTGTAAAAACTTGTTTAATCCGAAGTTATTGAGCCTCCATTATAGGCCTTGACTCATGATCTTAGACCGTGATTATTGGAAATCGCGTTAAGAATCCGTGAGCCGATGCTTGCTTTGTCTATGGTGACAATTTAATAGAAAGTTCGTTGTTCTTGATGATATAATTGACTTTCCAGTGGGTTATTTAAGTTTGACATAAAGATTTTAATTATGCAATAAATTAAAAGTAAAGAAGCGGCAAAGATGGCACGCTTGTGTCATGGTTTTTTTTTGTTCAATAATTATGTAGAAATATTAACCTATGCTCATTAAACATTATTTATAATTTAACAAAAAAAACATAACGCTGAACAAAAATACATCATTTATTTTATGTCTTTGTTGACTTACGCCCCTATGTCGGTATTTAATTGTATTTATTTAATTTAATATTTTTTATGTTAGAGGAGGTATTGGGGTGGTAACATAGCCCAGCCATAGAACATCTAAACAAGATCCGCTATCGACCTATTTTGGATTTGGATAATCGGTAATCATGACAATCATGTTAGGAATTTAGAATGATATCTTTATAAGTGAACAAAGCTTATTCTAATTATATTCCCTAATAGTCTCACAGTACTGTATTGATACACTGCAATTTCTACCAAGCAATGGCGCCTAAACATCTCATATTGCATTAAGCCGGAAATATGAAACTAGCAAATCGAAAGCTTTATTCACTCTGAGCAACAATAGTTATCTTATAAGTATATTGTTTCAGAAACTATCAGAAATGTATTTTTTTTTATTTATACATAGTAATTTTCTCTTATGCTTTTGACTTATAATTATTGTTTTGAACTTATAATTTATAACTTATAATTTTGAATTAACATTTCCTAACGATAGACTAATAACGTGGTTGACAGGATTACAATAATAGGTTAATATTCTACTATTAATCATTAGCAAGAAGCTATCCATTAAATCTATTGTATTGTTTTTAAAGGAAACATTTTTTAATGATCGTCATTTGTTTTGCATTAAAACTACTGATAATTGTTAATTTGATATTGTTTTATCAAACAACTCGTACAATAAAATTTAAAAAACTTAAGTTGTTATGACTACTGTCTACTTGGTTCAATTATTGCATATTGCGTTAAGCGAAAGAGATTCTGGGTTCGACTCCCAAACCAAACAACACTATAGTGCGGGAGAGAATAGATGTCTAATCAAGTACTTGACTATAGATACACCCACAACAGTAATAAACACAGACATATGTCTGTCCCATGCCCCATTCAGGAAGGGCGGATTCTATAGGAAACATACACACTCGTGCTTAACTGTATATTACGTTTGTTATAGAATAAGAGTAAAAAAGGCTAGAACACGTCAATTTGCGTGTATATTTTGAAATCGATGATGTAAAAATCTTCCTTAAATATTGTGATTCCGTTTAGATTTGATCGCAGGAAACTACGTAATTTAAACGATATTTATTTGGTATTATGCAAAAGACTTTCGAGGTGCTAAACGTAACTCGTATCCGGCTATTATATTCGGCTGTGGAAGTCCTAAAGCTACCACTTGCGTAATCTGTTTCGAAAACATAACAATTTATAATATTAGCTAATTAATTCTGCAGGCTTGCACGCACTACAAGGCAAACGTAACATGTAAAACAATTACATATATGTACATATTATTTACATGTTAATCGTCTATCAATAATTGTAATCAGTTAAATATATTTAATATAAGTGAAAATTTAGTAATTCGTATAGTTGATGCGACTGGCACATATTGGATAAAACGCTTGTAACGGTTTCAAACGCGATTTATATAGGTTGTTTTTTTGTATTCGACAGTTGTTTGTAAGTTACCATGGTTACGGGACTAAGAAGGATGCGCAATCGGGTTCTTTATCTACGCATTTTTTTACTGTGTACTTGAGTTCGCAAGTGCTGTTGTTGTATGGTTTGTGATTGAAAGGAACAACCTGAATTAGCATTTATAGTCTGTGGAAAACAGAAGGAAGGAGCCAGGAGTAATTGGGTTAGGGCGTGCAGTGATTAAGCTGGGCGTGAACTCAATGTAAGATGAAGTGTGAAGACGCCTTCCTGGTTGCTTGTAGTTCTGCTCTGATGAAAGTGAAGACGTTTGGAGCTTGTTAGAATTACTTATCAATTTAATTATTCTTAGCAAGCATGATGCGAAATTCACATTTATATTGGTGAAGGTATAACTAACTATTATTGTGGTTAATTTGTATGTATGTTGTACAATTAAAATGATTATCTTAGTCAACAAAGAAAACAGAATCCGAACGTCGGCGAACTTTTCATTTGAAATCGGTATCTAAACTGTAGTTATTAGAATATAATTAAAAATGCTTAATAAAGGCCTCTTTACAATTAACGAATAGATACAAATTATTATAGATTTAGAAAAACAAGATTTTCGTATTCGTACACAAACAAAAAATACTTTATTGTCACCACAATGTTTCGTATAATAAGATGTAATATGAAGAAAAATCCAAAAATGTAGCGAGAAAAGGTATTTAATTATAGTAATGTATTAACTATTAACACTTTAATATTTTTCACATGTTAATATTGCACATGGCATTACATAAATTTAAAATCGACTTTAGATTAGATTTGAAACGGTAGCTTAATTGGTAAGAGCAACAGCACGGATCGCGGTGGATGCCGGTTCAATCTAAAATCGATTTTTAATTTATGTAATACCATATAATGTAATTTACGAACACGTTTAAACAAATATATGTTAGTACATATATTTGTTTATTACAAATTAATATATGTTACATATTATATTAAATATTTGTTAAATTATCGAGTTATGCATTCTAATCGAGGTACATTACCTAAATATCTTTAGTTTTGGTATTGTTTAATTAGTGTAAAAGAGTGCTCAATGGCGTGGTCTATTCAAATCCAAATACAACAATACTTAGTTTAATACCTCTGACTTGGCATTTATTTCTAAAGCCTTAAAGCTAGCTGTGACCGATTGTGAATAATTGGGAACTTCGGGTCATTATATTATGAGTTTAAATAACGGTATTAAGGTATGTGATCCATAACTTATCAATTTCTTGGACTTTATTTACATAAGTATATTACGGTACATTTTGAAAATATGTTTATCAAGGTCGGATTTAGATATTAAGTAATAATATTAAACAGTTCAATTATTTTGGTGTCAACAGCCACCGCTGCTATAGCTTAATGGTAAATATTGTGTTAAGCGCAAAGGGTTCTTGGGTCCAATCCTTCCTAATCAATTTACTACAAATAATTCCAAACGGATTTATTTGTAGAAAATTGACTAAAATCTAATCTAATTAAAAAAATTACATTTTGAGAAAACAAACGGTTAAATGAAAAAAAAACAGTCAATAGTTCACGCGAGTGCACACTTAAGTTAGCATTTATCGGATTAAAACCCGATATATATAAGTTACACATATCTTGTTTTTAAATATTTATTTTGTATTACGCCAGTTGTGATTTTGGGGGACCGATATACAAAACGTCGGGTCGTAGTTAAAATAAACCAATTTTAATTTTAACTTAGATATTTCACGTTTTAACTCGCCTAGTGTTTTATTTAAATGAATAGATCATGTTGAAATAAAAACAAAGTAAGACTTTATTTACTGTGTTTCACTCATCCCGATTTTCCATGTAAAAGCCTCCTTTATTATATACATTTTATATGCATGCAATAAGTTATACAAATGAAACAATCGTTCTTAAGATTAAGCCACACTTCACAGGAATTATGGTGAAACACAAATTGCATATAGCTCATTGTTCGATGGAACCTACTGTGATACGTAATCGATCTTGAAAATGTTCCAAGAATCGAACGGTGACGGATATCGTTCAATGTTTAAAATTCAAGTATGTTCAATTGGACAGTCATTGAAGAAAATGGGAAAAGGAAGGCTTAATTTAATATAATTATATGTATATATATAATATATAATTAATCTTATGCAATAGAACCTTATACAAGTTGGTCTTTAAATAGAAATAATCATAATTATTCAACAAATTTGATCAGATTTCCTTAAAAAAAAAGTAAAGTGACTTACTAATATTAAAAAATGGTGGTGAGATTACTTTAATGCACATACGGCAACACCGATATTAGTAAGAATTAGTCTTAATGTCGTTAACAACGAAAAACTAGATGAAATGAAAGAGGAAGTGATAAGAGTTCAATTGAAAATTTTTATGTTTTATTATATTCATTGTTTAGCTGGTAACACTAACACTGGTATCCTAACGGATTAAAACACTCTTAACGGGCTTAGACCCGCATAATGTATTAGTTAAACTTTTTTACAAATTAACTACGGCCCGACGTTTCCTTTTTAATTCTACATGCCTCGTGACCATGGCTGCCACAAAGCATCATTAACGTCAGGCCGTAGTAATTTGTACATAAGTTTAACTAATACATTTTGCGTTTTAAACCGTTTAAAGAGTTTTATTCGAGTGTGTATTATTCGTTAACTTATTAGCCTAGGAATAAAAATGCGCGACTCGAAACCACGATCAAATCTGAACTTCTTACTTATAAAAGCCGTAACACAGGGTACCAAGCTGTTGAAGCGATGAACGCCAAAATAAAAGCGATTTAGTGATGTGGCAAGCATTTAAGGTTACTCAAAAATATGCGGCAGATTAAGCAATAGTGATGCGCGTCAAATCGACATTCCAGATTGTGCAGACCGTTACGGTACCCGGACACAAACTTGCGCAACTGAACGCATTCGTCGTTTATGTAATATGATGCATTGTTGTGTTACACGGAGTGACATTAGCCGAATTTTTATGTTGTAACTTTGCATGGGCGATACCGCTACGATAAATAACGCCTTACGGGGCCAGTCTGTCTTACTTCCCTTTTAGTGCGAATTCGACTAATAGTAATTATCACCTTTTTAGCGCTATTTATTGGGTTTAATACTGAGACTAAATTAGCGTAGGCATATCCTCTCAATAGCTTGTGCGATTTGTTAAGTATTCACCTTACCTAGATGTAATGAGATAAAACTTACCTAGATCTAGAAAGTCCCAAGTGGTCGTCCAAGATATCGCTAGAAGGACGCCGTGGAGAAGGACTTGCGAGAGCTCGGTGTGATCGAAGGGCGAAAAGCCGCGCAAGATGGGCGAAAATGGCGCTCTTTAGCTTCGGAGGCCAAGACTCACTTTGGGTCGCTGCGCCACCGGAGTGAGTAAGATCTAGAAGGTGAAAGAATGGATTTTTTCTTGATTAAGTTAAGAATACCTGTGATCAACATCGTCTTTTTAATCAAAAATAATTTTAAATTTTAGGTAGGTAGGTTTAACTATTAGGTATAGTAGTGATTGCCTGTCTAAAACCATTTATTATGTACTCCCGTAATTGAAACTAAGGATCACGTGCTCAGCTCTATGCAACACGTTAAATCACTGAGTCACCGAGAGGAATCAAATGTATCTTATGTTTATAAAAATCACCTAGTGTGTTACGTAGGTCAAATGCGTAGAACATGCAGAGTAGGGACCGCAAGCACGCAGGCGCCGGCGCTGCGGCCTTGACAATGTCGCTTTCCACATTAATTTTTATTTGGGCTGTGCTGCCCACTAAGGTGTTAACAGAGATGTACCGCCAATACATTATAAAGATGGAAAGAAATGAATTTACAAATATCTGCTAGTATTTGCTATGACTTTCTGTAGGTAGAAGGTTTTTTTTTAATTTAATAAAAATGTTGAAACCTATATTTTAAAATGGCGTATTGGCCTTAAATTGTAAACATCAACAATCCATTAAAAGATCAACACAACATACGAGTCTAACACCTAAACAAGATGTGCCGTCGACCCATTTTGGGCTTCGGACATTTGGCATCGATATTTATCAAAATTTGTCGAGGAGTTCGTACCTGAAAGTTTTGCATTTAGTTTAAACTATACCATCTCTTGTTAATGCTTATATACGCAGTTACTATTAACATTTATATTTCATGTAAAAATGTTACGTGATCAACAAAATTATTCATATTTTATTAGTGAGGTCACAGTGATAATAATAATGTTGTAGGTATACTATACAAAAAACTTTGTTAATTTTGAGATACTTATAGTAAGCCAATATACAAGTCATATAACAGGAGTTGAATTTTAAAAAGCTCGTCTGGGGCACGATAAATGTATCAGTGTTTGTTAGTGAAACAGTTACGCCTGAACGTTTTATTGGCGAATCGCCAAAAAGCTCGCTTAGCAGATATTGATATGTACGGAAGTGTTATGGCTTAGGCGGTTTCCATTATAGACGTGGAACTTGTTGATTCATACAGCTATTAAGATGTTAAGTAAAAGACTGCCACAACTCTTGCGCAACAACTATTGCATGTAAGCAATTGTGTTTATTTATTTATTTTTAATAATTACAGCTTTATTATTCATAATACTTACCACAAAAAATACAAGAGATAAAAACTTACGTACTAACTAATACATAGAAGACAGCCTGAATTAGCGGCCTATTTAGCGATCTCTTCCAGGCAACCTGAAGTACAGGAGAAGGGAAATAAAAGAACGGCTTACTGTTTTAGGAATAGTGTTTTTTGTAGTTTCAATCCTTTAATATTTCCTAAGTTAAATATTTAACATGGAATTTTATTACAAAATATACAAGTTATCGATATTAAATAAAAAAAAGTATCATGATTAAGTAGATCAGTACGAAAGCCTCTTCTCTTCAGCCTTCTTTTATTTTGAAAATGTCAAATGAAACATGATGTTTAGGATGAGCTGAAATATGAAAATCGGTTTTCAAGAAACTTAAATATTATATCTAGAAGGATTGATATAATTCATCATAGACAATTGACACTTAAGTACACAAATTAATTTGAAGATGGTGACAACACGACCAGCCCTTGAGTCTTGAGAGGATATGGGTCTGAGTACGTTGTGAGTGGATGCAAATTATATTATTCGTATGTAGACTAATTACGATAAAATGCTTTATTTATTGAAAAATTTAAAATGTAATTAAATGAATTCGAAATTATGAATGTATTTTGATTTATTTAAGCTAGTAACATATAAACATACGCTCAGTTTGTGAAACTATCCAATGACCATCAAATATAAAATAACTAACAAAGGTTGTAGGTACAAGATAAATTTAGTACGTTATTTTCTTTTCTAAGACAGTTTCTCCATTTTCAAAACTGCGTTAAACATGTTGCGAAAAATTAGGAAATGGTTTTACAAACAAGCTAGACTTGATAAGAATCAAATCCAACAGCCATTGATAAGACACACCTGCCAATCACCAAACGATCTTCTAAAAATTTATTTAAGTTCTAAATTCAAATATCCAAAACATACAGATTAAATTAAACGCCAGAATGTCGAATACAGATAAAAAATGAATTCCAATAGAAACCAACAAAAACCCTTTATATTTAGTTTGTACCTATTATATGAAGTAGGGATTTATTGACCTAATACATATATATATAAATATATATTTGTAGACCTAATACAATCTATTAAGGTAAACAATGAGTATGTTTCTTATTAATATATAATATTATGTAAACTGTATACCTTCTGAAGACGAGTTTCGTATGATTCACACATTGGTTTATTTATGCCACCCGCACATGTATAAGATCAACTTATACAGACAATTTAGATAATGTAACAGAAAAACTGCTTTAAAGCTCATTATTATTTATGATTTGTTTTTAATAAGAGATCGGTATAATGTAGTATGTTTTCATCTCTGTACTCGTATTATATACGTAATATAAAATAATATAAATGATGCGTCTAGGTCATGAGGCCCAGGATTTAGCTGGACGTTCACCGACACATTCTCACCGTAGATGGTATCATCGTCGGGTTATCTATGTGTATTATTTGCCAATTCTAATTTAGCCGCCGTTAACAGTTTATCTCCTATACCCTCTTAGGAGGCCTGAGTAATGGCTACGTATTATTTTAAGGAATAACACGTGTGTTGTTCTTGTTGAGTACCTGAATAATATTGTATGTATACAACTTACTTCTTGACGTCGGGTATAATCTTCGTTAGCTGAGTCTTCATTTGTTTTCTTTATTAAAGCCAGGTTATTTTTTGGTGGTGCCCAATTTTTTATTATAATTTTTCGAATTCTAGATTTTCTTAGTCTATAATATTGTTAAAGATATATTGCTTAATAAAACGTCAAAATGTTATGCGAACAATAAACTGAATCTACCAGTATAACTATAGTTGTGGGTACGATCTGTTAAACAGTATCTACCGACGTCCCATAAATTCTTCATCTGCCAAAGGTTAACCACGTACATTACAAGCAATTTTGTTTTATGGTAATACTTTGGCAGGCTGCCGGACGGATTTGAACACGGAGGTGCTTCAAAGGAGTTGTGCGCGAGATTCGAGACATCAAACGATATTTTCATATTTACATTTGTTTTCGCAAATGTTTTGAGTGGCCAGTGTTTCGAATTCAAATCCAAAGAACTAATAGGGACAACATATTTGCGATGGCTATAAAAATAAATGAAATGATGGTTATGCTCTAGTAAAACAACGCTAAATGTGCAAACTGTCGAATCCAGTTAAAGTCTTGTCCAGTCTAAATCTAGTAATCCGGGGAAGGTGTTCAGGACCAGATGAAACTAATCAAGTTCTTAGTTACCTACTAAGAACTTGATTAGTTTCTGTTTTCCTGTCCATCTATTACTTATGGGTGGTTGTTGTTAATTCCATCAACTGGAGGGTGGCGGGGGTAAACTCCTAAAGTTCTTAAACTCTCTCTAGATACGTTATAAAGATGAAAGCAATAATCAAGTAGTGAATTTAAACACATTTAGGCTTTTGTCGGTAAAAATATTTTTAAAACATCTATTAAAGAGCGGTCATTAGATATGATAATTTACATTTCATACGGCTCGAGCTGAAAACACACGACCGTAATTCGTTTTGAGAAAACTGAGGATTTATGAGTCAGATGGGAAATAAGCGATATCGAGATAATTCAATTTTTAAAGGATGTAGACAGCATTATGTATTATACAAGATTAGAAATACAACAGAAAACGCATTGTGTAAAAGTGTGTATGCTGTTATTCCATTCTAATTATATATTCATAGAAAAAATAATAACTTAATCTATAATATCATATTGTATGTTTATTTATTTACACTTTTAATTCTACGAGGAACAAGCACGCGAACCAAATAGAAGATAATACTTTAGGCCTTTAATTAATTTTGTTCAAAACTTCATACCGCTCAAATTCTTGCTTTTAAAATAATTTTACTGAAATATTCCAATCAAAGATTCTTTCCTTCTAAATTATTGTCCAAATAATAGGCAGCTTAAATTATGTAGGCAAATCTTTGAAAACATGTTTACGACGGCTAAAAATAGAATTATTTTAGGTTATAAATAAAATCTTTTTCCCTAACTCATAATTCAATATTCAGACGTCAATGGAGCGCTCAGTAGGCCTGCGTTAAGCCCTGTGGAGCTAAGTTCGATTCCCAGAAAATAAAATAAAATATCAGTCATGAAAAATATGCCGTATGTCTAAACCATGCTCTACTCAGGCATAAGGGTTTTTAATTTAAAGGAATATTATTTGAATAGGAAGAAATAATAATGTGAAAGTATATTGTTTATGGTCGGTGGTAAGCTGAATCCATGCAGATACGTGAATCGAATACCTTGCTCAGTGATATGTGATATCGGTGCCAACAATATTTTAGAGAATTCCAGGAATGTATTCGCTGTATCAAATAATATAATATCTCCGGATTGTTTGCATCGCGCCTACTGATTCGAAATGTACACAATTTAATTCCAGTTTATTGAAGGTGACATACCCTAGCCATATCTATACAAGATGCGATGCCTAGGTATAGACAAAGAACAGTCATATTTTTGCGTCCGTTTTACTGGATATGTCAATCAAAAGAATGGGCCTTGTCCTACTTAGGATAACTCTTAATTTCGAAACCTCTTCCTCGAATGACGAGTAACGTAAGAACAATGAACCAATCTAAGATGCACCATTTACAAAACATCAATACACATATCGTGTAACACACAGCATGCGAAGTTCATAATATAAAAATACTAGCGATCCGCCTCGGCTTCTTTCGGATGCAACGCTGATACTAAATATACTAACGTTGAGAAAACCTCCTTGAATCACTCTATCTATTGAAAAAGACCGCACTAAAATCCGTTGCATTGTTTTAAAGATTTAAGCGTACATAGGCGCCGAAAAAGCGACTTTGTTATATAGTATGTAGTGAATCATCACGCATCTATATACCACCGTTTATGTAGTATATATCAATATACATACATAAACGGTTGTACGGCTTAGTTTTTGCCTAATTTCTGTTGCTAACGAGCGCCACTCTCATTAGATTTTACTTAGCGTTTTTGTCCCTACATTCAAACATACAAAACATTTTTTTGCTGCCCACGAAGGGAAAGCTTCGCTCTGGCAAAATGACTTAATATGTATCTGATTACAAAAATATATTATCTTCAATATATTACATCGCGTGTATTCGCATCTAATATTTGGTAATAAATTTCGCATCTTCGCATACCTAACCAGGTGGTCCGTTATAACTGACAACCCGCAAGTATTTTTTTAGCTCAAATGTCAACCTTTTGCATATATTGTTTCGTGCTGCACTTAAAATATATTTGACAGTCACGCAATTTGACCTAACATAATAGAACATCTAATAAACTTGTTATACATCTAAACGACACTAAAATTAAGTATTGTTTGCAGTTTAAGGAAATAAAACAATTATATTGGTCTTAAAAATAATGTATTTTAGGTACACATTACACATTACATTATGAAGGATCACATGCTTTATTGTAGCCATGGGTAACAGTGAATTTAACATTTTAATTATATTAAAAGTTTATCTGACATCTGGCATCGTGGCTTATACGAAAATAGTCGATTTCTCTGAGAATCGAACCTCTTAAGGAAATGCGTTTAACCACTGAGCTGGTAATTTAAATTGTAATAATTAATACTTACCCACGACTGATACGACACCACTAGGAATCATTAATGTTCTTCAATAAGTATAGGTAAAGCATAACCAATGTAAAGTGGGCGGTTCCAACCTTATCTCAAACAGAATTCTGTTCTGACCTTTCTATTTAGAATTATTAAATGGAACAATAGTGCACTTTAATATTGGCTAAAATGTATTGCAGTGCTTTTGTACTTTTACATACCTAATTTGGTTAGGTGAAGGCTCTAGTTTAATGTTTGTTTTATTTTAACTTAACGTGTGGAATCAGATCAATACTATATTCAATGATGTCAAGAGGAACCTTTTTTGACAGTCTATATACCTTTGTCTATATTCGTCGGATGTATGTTCCGCGCGTGACAAGTTGTACATGGCGGAAATTATGCCTAGAAATGAAATATAATCCTAATATAATCATGAGCGTCTGATAAAAATACGGATATTTATTGCGTATTTTCAGCCAGTACTTTGTTATGAGGCCTCTTGTTTCATCTAGCCCTAAGTACGATGTCGGTATATACGGCGTGATGCAGATAATAAACTATCAGACCAGGGGCGTTAATTATGAAGTAATAGAGTCCAGCCGTCATGTCACCTTGTACTGCTCCGGGCGAGACTTGGGCGGAGTTCGCACTGTGGTATGCATCCCGTGAGAAAATCACGTCCAAGCTATAAACGTCGTTTCATTCTAAATTGTGAATTATTCAGTAAATCAGTCAAGCTTATAAGGTTCGTAATATTTGCAAACGAATTAAATGGTTAACCTTTTTGCTTTATAATTATTGTACCTTTATAAAATTCTAAATAATAAAATTAGGAAAAGACTATCATTTTTAAAGACAAATTTTAAAATAGAATTTATATTCAATGCCTCTTGTAACATTTCCCATTAAACACTGTCTATAGGTTATACTAGTAGTACACATACAATTTTTACGGTTTCAAACGCGGAACATATTAGTTAAACATATTTAAAGATTATTTTAACTACGGCCCAACGTTACGTATGTTTTGCATGGTTAATTCGATTTCGCATTGATAATGTTACGACGAGTAATTAAGGTTTATTTTTTTAATCGCTGTCGCCATTGATTTAGACCGTATTTCAAAGCAGATCAACAATGCATACAAGGTGAGGCAACGCGCGGAAAGGGCAAATTCGACAGATATAAGACCCGAACATCCCTCTTGTCAGTATTCAACGCCGCAGCTCGAGATAAGCTTCATTCACCTGTTCTACAAATCATCGAAAATTGACATGATGAAATTGGTAAGAGGTTCACGATCCTTGAGATTGGTTATTATAGAAAAATAATTCAATCGATAGTCTAAAGTTCATATTCGAAGATGTACCTATATTACGTTTTTTCGTAGCCAAGGTGATAAGCTTCTAAAAGATCAAATTGTATTGAAAATGTATACCTTTGTTGCTTTGTTTTATTTTCTTCTATTGTCTTTGTGACGTGGAGAAATAAAATTTGTATGATAATTTTAATCTTGCTAAGCCTAGAGTTCATAAAGAAGATTGGAGTTTTACATCTACGTTTTCGGTCTTTTATTTATAAATATGTTATTTTTCAGATATGTTTGATTATGGTGGTGGCAATGACCTCTGCGGCTCGCCTGGATCACCTTTTGCCCGGGTATAGTTATAACAGCGGTGGTAACTACAACGGCGGCAACAATGCAGCGCCATTCCGCTTCGAGAATGTTAACAATGGGGATGGCAGCTACAGATACAGGTACGAACGCTGGGCCCTTAGCTAAGGCAACAATTCAAAAACGATTACGAAGTTCGGATAAAGCATATGTTTGTAGATAATAGCTCCACCAGCGACTACGTCCGCGTAGAATAGTTATTTTGGGCATCAATATTTGTTTTTGCAAACCTTCTCCTCGTCTTTATAAAATATAGCTATTAGCCACGATGTCGGTCGCGTCCCGTCGTTCTCATAAGTTATTCTTAAAAGATAAACATAGAGTGTCATTTTTTTAAGTCAATTAGAGATGAATCATTCTTTTGTACATATTTTTCCGGTATCTTGAATCGTTTCCGCAACGTACAATGGAGCCCTACAAATAACCCCGTTTCTTCATTTTCCCGCTGTTTTTTCCTCCTAGTCACCGCTCTATAGTTTCTTCGATAAATGTTTTAACACTAAAGGAATTTTTCAATTCAAACCAGTAGTGTGTGAGATAAGCACGTTGAAACAAACATACTCTTCTGCTTTATATATTAGTTTACACCACAACTAAATAATACTGGTACAAGACATGCTGTTGTTTCTTCATCTGACGGTGGTTCGAGACCCGGACGGAAGTCCAACATTCAACTCTAACACACATTTAAAAATTTGGAAATTGTCCAGAAAATAACATTCAAAAAAACATGTTGGACCGGTGAGGATCGAACATTCTGCATACGTTTATCATTACCCCAACGAGTCATTTTTATGGTTTATAACACCAGAGGAAACAAACAAATATATAGTAGGTACATTCTATAATTATTAACCACACATGAAATAGTCTTCTAGAAAAAGGGATTATTGAATGTTTTCTATCATAGCTTTCGTGTGATAAAAACACAAAATGAAAGCCTAGTCATAAAAAACCATTCAATCGAGGAAACTGGTCCTAACTTCTAAGAGTCTAACAAGGCGAAGTTTCCTACAAAGATTAATTATTTTTTCAGTTATGATACACCTACTGGCATATCTGCTCATGAGAGCGGAGCTCCACGTGCAGCCGGACCCGAGGGCCCCGCAGTGACAGCCGAGGGCGGATTCTCATACCGGGCCCCAGACGGGCAACAAATCTCACTTACGTACACAGCGGACGAGAACGGTTTCCACCCTGTCGGCTCCCATCTCCCCACTCCGCCGCCGATACCAGCGGCCATTCAGCGCTCCCTGGAATACAATAGACAGAATCCTTCGTAAGTCTTTTTGTTAATTTATCTTTGCTCCCCTCTTATTGTGAAGTCTTCGTTTGTTATTTAAAAACGCCTGTTGATAATTGCTAGCAAAACTTAGTTCCGCGAACATTGCGTTTTGTCATAGATTTTACGTGACTAAAATATAATGAAATTAGTATTCAAGTTCTAACTAGAATTAACTATGATATTACCCGCGTCATCCAATAAATTACACTTTGAAATCATATATCGTTTTACGAAAGAGAAACAAACATCCCTAAAGATTCGCGTTCAGAATATTAAAAGTATTAAAACAATTGGTCAAAAGAATATAATATTACAAACTGCAATGTTTTTAGTAATATTTTATTTTGTAAATCTTTATCTAGTACCGAATAAAATTTAAACTCATAAATAGGGATTAGTTTAGTTTTAGTTCACAAATGAATGCGGTTAGCGATAATTAAATCACAGACCGTGTGACAGTTGAACTTTGCTTGAGTTATTTTATAGGAGCGACTCAGCCGCCTCAGTGCAATAAAATAAATAATGTGTTAATCTTCACAAATTTTCTACGCTTAATCATTACTTGAAATCAGAAGTCTTTTAATGAAATGGGATTGTTAAACGACATACACATTTCTTATCTAATAGGCGTTTAAAAATAGTTGCTCGTTTTTTGTTTTTCTCATTTGTTTTGTTTTGGTTCATTGGTCTAATGATATAAATGCATGGCTAACAATCAACGTGTCCTGAATTCGATCCCCCCGGAGTCCAACAATTTTTTCTGAAACATGTTGGACTTCATCTTGATATCAGGATATTAAATCAGGCTTGTAAAAATATCGATTTTCGTCCGGGTTACGAACCCCCGTCTACAGATGAAAAAGCCGCAAAGTATAAACAACCAAGGACTGAAACCGAAACGCGATTAACGTTTCAGTCTGTGTATTTCCGAATATCTATAGCCAAAATAGGTCGACAGCGTGCTTCAAATGTGCAAGCCATACATACATACATTCCGAACAGCGTAAATTGTAAGCAGATCAATATTATTTTCATTTTCTTTAAGACCGACACGGTTGATATAAATTTTCGAAGTTTAGTCCGGCTGATTCACATCGGTCTAATTCGTCAACTTTGCAACTGACTTTAAACGTTTCTAAGTACTGTAAGGAGTCTTTAACAAGATAATTACCCGTATAAACCTCACAGTGTATACTTATTTTTATTTTCAGAAATGGCAACTACTATTAAACCCCTGGCTATGTAGTGTCCTGGACGTACCTCATAAACTTCAAAAGCAAGGACTGTGATATTCAACGCGATGAAAGTATTATTTTTATACAATTAATTAAATAATTAAAAAAGAAGTATCTTTCATTTTACATTCTTACCACTTCAGAACTTTGTAACATTTAAAAATTGAGAAGTGTTGCATTATCCATTTACGAAAACTGATTATATTTGTACTTACATAATAGGTACTTTAACATCTCTGTTTTATATTCTTTGTAACAGCCCAACGACTATCATGATATGCTCACTATGTTTGTAGGGATTAGATAAGGCAATTTTTAAATTAAACATTATAGAAAGTTAACCTTTGACTTAGAATATTTTTTTGTTACTGTCATATGTCGTAATATATATTATAAATGCACTCGATTATTTTATAGTGTTAATATTTTAAAATAAAACGTGAATAAGGAAAAAATATTTGAATATATTTATGTGCCATTGTAGTACGATAAATTAAATTATATAACTATACAATATATGTATGTATACGTACATATAGGAAGACTTTCCTGTAACTTAGTTTTGTAACTTAGATTAGGTTAAATATCAATTCGAACACCTTGAGACGTTCATGTGTACTTTTGTATCCCTTTTAATAACAATGAATATAATAATATAAAAAAGACCATAGAGATACAATTTACAAAAGAAGAGAACAAAGTTTACTGAATTAAGAGACTCAAAGTGAAAAACAATCGACAGACGGCCCGTTGACAAAAGTAAACGGCAATTTACATTTAAAATGATTCCGCCCTTATATAATTAAACTCTATAATGAGGTTATTTGTAGGAGGTTTCCATAAAATCGTGTTACACCGAGAGTTTATTCTAATTATATCAATAAACTTTGTAGACTCGCTAAATATTTAAATATATTATTTTATATTAAGACAAGTTCATTATAATTGATTATTTTCGGAGATCTGTATACATATATGACGAAGCGTTGTAGGATAGTGAATACTCAAAATAGACTCACGCACGGTATAAAAGACCATTTAGATAGTCCATAACGAATTAACACGACATACGCAATGATTGAATCGATTTAGATTGATAACCTTTAAAACAAAAGAATGTCGATGCACCCTCAGAAATCTCTAACCCTGGCAAGTTGTCAATAATTCATCATCCCTCAATGACAGTTTGTCAAACGTCAATGCCACTATATCAATCATACAAGTCACAAGTGTTTCCGTTTCCGAATATGTCTTATAGGTGTAAAATAAACTACCCGATCGAATTGCATGGCAGGAGAAAAAAACAGACTTAAAATCTTTGGCACCATAAAGAAACAATAGCAAAAAAAATTACAACTTGTAATAATAGGTCAGGGTTAACAAGTGAACACAAATTTAATTAACGATTTTGTTTTGTTTAATAAACCATTAAGAACTTTATAATAATCTCTACATTAATATTTTCACACGTTATTGCACATAATGGCATTATATAAGTTAAAACTGTATTTAGATACCTACTGCTACCTATAAGCTATCGTTGTGTGTTTATTAATTATTGATAAATAATTTGACAAAAAATAAATGCCCCCAATCGTTTTTACTCATTACAATAATCAGCTTAACATTAATTTAACCAAATGAAACGTTGTCATACAAAAAATTGACAGTTAGTTGCCAAAGTGTAAAATAGGCAAAACGTTAGTTGTCAAGTGATATTCGGTTAAACAATTTTCGGCCAAAAGGCAGAGATCCAGTTATATGTTATTTATGAAATCAGTTGCTTACGAAAAGCTTAGCTGATCTGTGATGTTATTACTTTTAATTACATACTTGAGAGAAGGAGTACTAAAACAAATTTCATACATTCATTCATATTTATTTGCTATAGGTATGTTTTTAACATAACGATTACACGTGCTTTTATATTTACAAGTAGTGCCAACATTACAATAAAGACTTACAAGAACTTATTTTACGCGTCATAGTGGTATCACAGTCCTAGGTTCGATAACATGGTCTTAGATGCTAGAAGCTATGTTTAATACAATTGTAATATGAAGATAATATTTAGGCGTAACATAAATAAGCATTTGACTTAATAACTTCACGAAAAAGATCGGATCTTAGTTTTGTTTAAGAATATAAAACAGGTTACGAGAAATTAAAGACTAAAATATCTAAGTAAATTGATGAAACGTTAACTAAGGAATTTTTTTATCAATCTCGATCCGAATATCTTTTATTAATTAGAGGTGGCAACAAGCGATCAATAATGGTAGCCACCGCCGGCACCACCAGATCCGGACCCAGAACCTGAGCCGCCGAATCCACTGCCAGATCCTGACCCCCCAAAACCGTTCCCGGAGCCTTTGAAACCTCCGGCTCCACCTGAACCACCAAATCCAGAACCGCCGCTACCCGAGCCGCCGAAACCATTCGAACCGCTGCCAGAACCGCCGAAGCCGCCTGAACCGCTTCCAGAGCCGCCATAACTTCCAGAACCACTACCGGATCCACCGAAATTACCAGATCCGCTTCCCGATCCACCGTTGTATGCGCCTTCTCTGAAATATTATTGTACAATTCAATAGCAAATATTTCTTAATGCACTTTTAGATTAAATACATTTATTTAGATTAAATATAAGTCACTCACGATGATGGGTTACGCTTGTTAAATTCAATAGACTGCAAGATGGCTTCGGGGATAGGTGGAGGAGTAGGAAGATGGTCACCGACTGGGTGAAAGCCGTTTTCGTCGGCTGTGTAGCTCAAAGAGATCTGTTGGCCTTCGGGGGTTCGGAATGAGAAGCCTCCTTCTGCGGTAACAGCTGGCCCTTCAGGGCCCTGCGCTCGTGGCGCACCGCTCTCTTGGGCCTGGATACCGTTACCAGTTTCATAGCTGAAATTTCACAGTGACATATTAATAAATTAAATTAAGATACTTTTGACATCTTACTGTTAGCTATGCTGGCTCGATATTACAGGAAATTGAATGAGTAATATATTCGAGTTAACAAGTCATGAATTATGAAGTTATTTTTTGTCATACAATTACTTTGAACTTATTACGTATTTTTTTTCTTCGTAGATTTAAGTGGTAGAAAAATGCTTTTTATACGAAAACAACAAAAATAAATTTTCAAGTAATAAATCTATATGTTGTAACCTAAATTTATTCTAGAACTTATAATATGAAGATAGGCCTGTAATGTCAAGTAGATTACTTAACAAGTGTTTAATAATATTTTGATGGAAATGCGCAAGAGGTACTTTATCTGTTGATGCGTTACACAACTTTCATATAACTTGCAATGTTATTAAATCACTGCAAATAATGTGAGTAATAAGCTAATCAAGCTGTCGCTGACATTTATGCTGCCTAATTACGACGTGCAAAATGTGAATTGATGAGCTAAATGGAGCAGTTATTTAGGCCTACACCAATTGTGTAATAGCTTGTAGTAGGACACGAAAAACACACCCTTTTTATTAAGGTGACTTATTTTAAATTAAACTGTACTTGAAAAATCATTTTTCAATAGCTTTACATAAATTAATAATCTATTTAGCATTGAAAACAATCAACAGTACGAGCGGTAAGGATCGAGCCCGTGAGTTCTCTTTGAATTTGGTCCAACCTTTATTTTCACACCTCTAACAACCTAATTGAAACCTCGAGACTGGTAATTTTTTTTTTTAATTAATAAGGTCATCGATGGGAAAAAGTCGTAACTTACTCTTAAATTATAGAATTAGCGACTAGAGTCAACAACGCCGATTTTTAGGTACAACTTTTGTTAATAATAACACTAATAATAATCACGTGTTGTTAGTTTTACTCTGTACAGCGAAATATGCCAGTTATTAAGAAGTGTTGAACTAATTTAACTTCATAACAAAAGGTTAGGTAACGCTGGTGGAATGCATTTAGTATTAGTTAAAACTTTATGACTTAGTCCGTGGTCTCCTATAGGTTCTAAACTTCATACAACGGAACGCTTTACAGCGTCAAGATTGTTAAATCAAGATACTTTAAATACAAAGTACAAGGCCTAAACAACACCTTGTTCACAATAGAAGTAGACGTCAGTCAGTCGAGAAATTTGGAGACGCTATGCAAAGCGGTTATTTGCCGCACAGACGAGCAACCGGTTGAAGTCTTGCCCGTATCGCCTAATACTGTCTTAATAATTTGCATACAGACAATTCATAGAACATTTGTATAATCTCATGGCGTTGATAGGAGACCACAGGCTTAGGAAGCAATTCCTGAACTAAACTACCAAGTTTGTGGCACGTTCAATGAAGTTGCGAACTTACCTAAACCGGTATGTGCCATCGCCATTGTTAACGTTCTCGTACTTAACAATTGGAATGTTGGCTCCACCGGAACCACCGAAGTTACTGTTTCCGCTTGCCCCACCGCCAAAGCCAGATCCTCCTCCGAAACCTCCCCCTAAGCCTGTAATAAAAAAGTTCTTGTAAGATCATTCAACCCAAACGGTAGAAATAAGAAGCTTTTTAATAAACTTACAGTTTATATGTATCGTGTTTAAAATTGCAATTGCAAGTGAGTGCCATTTATTCAGTTGTAAACATTTTTTAGTTTTATTGGTTACTTCAGGGTTTTTTCGTATCAGAATTGACCTTAAACTTTTTAATTACACTTACTATAATGCTGTCCTAATACAGAAGAAACTAAATTTTGTAAAAGACAACATTAATATATTTCACATGTTATTGTACACTATATAGGTATAATTTAAAGATTCACATTTTTTTTCAATTATTTTCGTTTTTAAATTAGACTGATCTTGTCAATAGTTAATTAAGTACCCCTCAAACTTATCTTTATACAGAGATAAATAAAAAAAGAAAAATATTAGGAAGCACCCAGGAAGTAGTAACGAAAATAGTAAAATAAGTTTGAGAAACAAAAAAATCTCCAAATCATACCTTGATTACCGCCAGATCCACCGCCGAAGCCGCCACCAGACCCGCCTCCAAAACCACCTCCAAGACCTCCATTACCAGCTCCCCCAGCCCCAAGTGCGTTTGACCCACCAGCACCGCCAGCGCCTCCACCCCCAAAACCTGAGCCTGGCCGTGGCGGAAGATATTGTGGCTCAAGTCTTCCGCATGACACCAACGCTGTTAGTGCCGAGAGGAGAAATGCCTAGAAAACAATAATTTATGAAAAATGTTTACTTTTAATAAGCTGTACTTAACATGAGTGTGTATCAATGGGGTATAGAGAGATATAAACTGAGCAAGTAGATATCCAAACTTCTACGCCGAGCCAAACTGTAACTCTTATGTTTCCTAGAGCTTAAAGCACGTTATTTATAACTTAACGTATTAGCTTAATAGGAATATACTTTGAGTTAATGATATAGTTTTATACGCCATTCCATGAAACATCACATCGCTTTAACCTTTTCAACTTTCATAAGTTAACGTGAACTGTTCGGATCAACGGGTCTCTAGCGCGCTTGCAATAAATAATTAAGTTCACGTACATGATCCCTGTGATGCCACCGCGTTAATATCGTGAGAAGCTCTATATGCGAAGAGCTAATAAAGTCACATCTATTCATGGATCCCATAAACCAACTTCTTCAGTCGTGATATGCCGTAATGAAGAATATAAATTTTCTTCATTAATTCAGAACCTCAGACTTGGCGTTCATAATGAAACCGCGCGTAAGAAAGTTCCTTCGCTAATTTTAACAATTACGCATACCTAAGGCATTTTGAAATTTTGTTGACACTTTGAAACGACAATTAATCAGGTAAATGGGGCATAGGACTTCTAGGAATTTATTAAAATATATGAATAGTGATAGATGATATTATGCAAGACTGTACAAGTTTATTTTTAGCACCAACCGATACAATTTAGACATAGTTTTTTTATTTATTTTTATATTAGCGTTTGGGTATATAACGCGTTATGGCGCCAGCCAGTCTGTCAACTTAGACTAGTTCAAGATGTGGTCAGGAAGCCCCGAGACGCAAACGTTTTTTTTTTGGAAAAAATTTATTACATTGTTTCAAACCGACAAAAACAGAAGAAAAATAATTTATTTTTAAATTCCGTTTACACAAATAATATACACTTGGCTATATGAATAGAGGGAGTGCAGCACCGAATTTAAGGGCTTTTGAATTCAAACCACAGATAAAAGACGAAAAGGACAATACAAGTCCGCGTAGTTATGTAAAACAATCTAATAGAAGATCCTATTAATTTAAAAGTATACATACCCTGGCAGTGTACATATTAATATCCTAGATTTTACTGTCGAGAACGGGCACTGTTCGTTAAGCCGATAGCAGAATACTGTGGAGTAGGATGTGCACTGTTTTATATGGCTCGAATTTGCCCTTTCGCGGTTGCTTCACCTTGTGCGTGCTGAAGCTATCACTGTGGATCCGTGCTTTTGACTCCGCCTCAGGACTATCTAGGCGAGGATTCCTTTTGAAAACTACAGAATACTCACAAAAATATTGTTATAAGTTATAGAGTTTTCTAGTCAAGTCATGTTTTTTCTTGTGGGCGATTAGAAAATATGTATCATGTACGACTGTAGTCTACACTAGTTGTACACCTTTAAGTAAAATATATTTAACGTTTTAAAACGCGATATATATTAGTTAAACTTATTACAAATGATTTTAAGTGCATACCGTCTCGGGTGCTTTCAGAGTGTTAATTTATTATTAATAACGACTCGATGTTTGGTATGATTTACATCATTATTTGAATTAGTTAAATATAAATTATAATATTTTTCGACGAAAGCCAAAAATGTTCTATTTATATGTGAAAACAAATTGAACAAAATTGGCATATATTGCATGCATGATTAAGTGATGCGGACACAGAAGTGAGCCTGGTTTATAACTCTAAATGTTTGCATAATTTCAATAAATTGAAACCTACCCAGTTCACTTTAAGATAAGTCAATCTAGCTCAATTATGTCGATGCTTTACCGTTCCCACAATACAAAGTTATCTTTTCAACCTCTAACTGTCCTTTTGAAATATCATCCTTATGGCACTTAGTATCGTATATAACAAAGGCATTAAGTATTTGGCATGAGACTTGAGGCATGATGACAAATACAAATTATTATCTATGTATATTTTATTATTTTACGTATACAATTTAAAAAACATATTTTTAAACCGTTATGGCGGTTTTTATTAACTATGGATGACGATTTACGCCTAATTCCGTAACACCTAATAATATACATACAATTGTATTATTTAATGATTAGAGACGATAACGTTTGGAAACATCTGAATGACTTTATTAACAGGCTACTTAAGCTAATCGTTGCCACAAATATTTAAATAAAAAAAAAGGTTTCATACAGCTCTATACACTCTGTTCAATATACCTTATGGGTAAAGCTTTAAAATCCTTTCTTGACGCAGTTCATGGGTGTATTATGTGTGTAAACATATTTTCTTATTTGTATAGTGGGTGTAGCCACTACAAAAAAACACGACAAAAAAAACGACATTATCTTCAAACCCTCATCGGCACCCATATTTACAAATTTCTGTAGCTTTAGGGAACTCTTGACTCTTCAGAGTTTATTTCTGAGACGATATATTCTCACAATTATAAAACTGTTAAAGTGCATTGAGTGACATTTTGATTTAGATGAACGAGCTGGAGGAATCCATACCCTATACCTATCATACACCAGAGGCAAGTCATTACAGCAATTTAAGTGAATTAAGTTTATGAAACCTCTCTTTAAATAAGTAGTATATAATCATATGTCAATATCATAATTGAAAAATCGTTTCTTATGTAGCCTATTTCACGGGATCCTATGTTATGATAATATAGTCTATTATATAATAAGGAAGCGATCTTTGCATGCTAAGCAATGTAAGTACGCCATCATAAAATGCTACAATAATATTTGCGTCATAGTTACCTATAGAATAGGATGATAAGTTTAACATAACCCGCCCATGAAGTTTTTTTTATATATTTAAACAAATGTCTCACTTTATTGATGAGGTAATGCCAAGCTAAATATGAACGTAGTTAAATTTAACTAAGAACTTCTGTCTCTAAATTAGAAATTCGACACAATCATTATAGTTTCGGTGGCGCGACAGTCGGTGGTGACAAAGATATTTAATACAAATAATTTGACGTTTTTAATATAATTTATTTGAATTTCACTAAGACAAAGGATTCTAGGACTCAGGAATTTTGGACATCGTTGGTGTGTAGTAGAATATGTAAAGTATTAATTTCACCCAACTATTTTCTGTGGCTAGTCACTTTATAATCTTACTAGTTCCAATCGATAAATTGTACACAGTTATAATAATTACGGAAAATATTCATGCACAATGTGCTGCAAATTACAATGTAATCGGTATTAAGACATTCGAATCTATTATGTGCAATAATTCAACCGTTTAGCTTCTGCAAAGGTATTCATTTCCTTTCATGAACGTTGTTAAAGGTGTCTAGTGATCATCCATCACACTGATTCCGTCTCGATTCTCGTCTTGGGGGGCAATTCCAACAAAGCGACGAGAGATGTATGGCCATAGAAGTTAATAAGTCAGACGTTTATGAAGCTAACAGAATAGTGTACAATTTTGCAGGGTTCCGCAATGAAAGAAAGTTGAAATTTTGACAAGTTTTATACTTTTTTTGTCGCCATAACAAAATGAATAAAAATGAAAAAGCTCCCATTCAACAAACACGATTTTTATTAATAAAACGAATATAGAATATTTATTTAGATTATAACGATACTTATTATAACACCCATATTTCATTTTTAATTGTAATTTATCGCTAGTTAATCATGGGATTTTTAATGACTCATCGCTGTATAAAAATACACGATTGTGTTCCTTATTATAACAATATCGTGAGATCATTTTGAGATAATTTTTATGATAATAACATTACAAAACATACCATAATATGTATATATTTATTATTTGCAATTGTTTATTTTAAAACGGATGATAATGGTTTAATATGACAAAGAAAGATTAACACGCTTATCTATAGCTTCATTCTAATTTGACGATTTTTTTTTAAATATACGGATCTCTAAAAACGTTGATTAGGTATTTAGTAGGCAATTCCCTACGACGTCGATAACTTATTCTACCTCGTAAGTGATATATCGAATGTAAATAAATGATTAATTCCTAGGCATGTCTTTGGAAGGCATCAAATAGGATATTCGCGTGCGCTTGGAAGCTATCAGATCTCCAAATGTCACATTGCTGAAGATCGCGTCCGTGAACGATATCGACCTCATGGAATAACAATATCAGGGTTGCTTCTTACACATTCTACGAAGTTTAAATCAGTACCATGCTTAAGGCAAGGCATATAGTAATAATGCAAATAGTAATTTCTACTCGTACAACCGAATAATTATATTCAGACACAGATTGGTGTGCAATTTCTAACCATAGTTAGGAGCTGTGGGGCACCTTCAGGTAAAATGGAAGACACAATTTTGTTGCTGTGCAAGTAATTAATTTATTGTTATTATTGTCTGTAGTTTACGCATATAACACATGTATAATTAAAACACTTTTAACGGTTTCAAACCAGAGATGTATTTTACATTTTTCCAGTTATCTTATTCCGAAATTTAGATATGTTTATTCGGCATTCAAACTCGGGATCGTCATCACACACGCATCGTATTGCTTGTTGTAAAAATTATTAACATTAAAAAATATAATATATAATTAAGTTTATATAATATAATAATATATATAATATCAATTATTATATATAATAATTTATATTATATCTTTAATTTAACAATATTAAATCAAACCTGATATTATTCTACCGTGTTCAACCTCTGCTAAGCCATTATTGAAAACGATCTCATTTTCGGACTCATTAACGTTCACAAAACATATTAACTCCTTAATTTCCGAAGGATAATTATTATATAAAAAATTGAAAGTGTTGAAAAAATTAAACTTTAATTAAATATTTTTGGTAATGTTTACTTTAAAATTCGATGGCATGAGGATGTTTCAGTAATTGTAATAAATAAGTTTAAATAATTTAAATAAAACACTTTAACGGTTTAAGAAACGATATCGTTTTGGATGCTTTGCAGCAGCCGTGGTCACGGGGAGAAAACCGTTTTTAAGCCGTTAAAGCGTTTTATTTAAATGTGTACTATACTACTACTCGTGTAAACTTCCGACAGTTGTATGTATGTTGTTGACGATGGGTTGAAGCAAAGTAATAATAAATATTACGAATTTGGTTATAATGTCTATAACCTAAGCAGAGATGCAAGAGTTTCACCACATCTTAGATTCTAAAGACACGCCCTGCAAAATGTCTACCTCTAATCTTAAACTCGACAGTATTCAGACATGATCCTTATATTTCACGAACAACACGATCACGATTCAACTGAATTTACTGAACTTTTGTACTTTGGTCATTTGCAGTTGAAGGAAGCTCTGGTTTTAGTGGTTACGAAACGGATTTAAGAATTTTCAATTTATTTGAAAAAAGTCTTTAAAAAACTTATTACAAGTTAGAGTTTCAAAATGTTTCGAAAACTATATAAACAAATATAATCAAAACGTTTATTACAAGTACGATGTCAATATTTGTTATAGATGATTTACAAATAAAGTTTGAAATAAAACAAATAAATTAAGTAAGAAATTGTGTTTAAATAAAAATCTTAATGGTTTAAAACTCAAAATAAATTAGTTAAGCAATTTTTAAATTATTTTAACTACGGCTGGATGTTTCGGTCCCCCTGTGACCACTGTTGCTTCAAATTGCTTTATTGAAATATGCACTACCTACTCGCGTGAACTACAGAAAAATTATATTTTTCGTTTATCTGAATCTAAGGAAGAATGTCCATTGTTCGTAGTCAGGCAAGTAGGGTTGGTATTCTTGCCTGATTACTTCGTTTGAATCGAACCCAGGATTGGCGGAATGGGGAATTTAACAATATATTAAACAACGTGTCATTTAGCCACAGAGGCAATGAAACGCTTATGACATTTTGGATAAGTATTACGAATATTCTTGTTGCGAGTACGCTGCTGATATTATACAATATACGAAATTATTGTCATCAAAATATTTATAATATCTCATTTTATCATTATCAGCACGCAGGCGCCCACTGCTGGATGATGCTTCTTCCAAAGCATGCCACTCGGCCTTCCCTTTATACATCCATTTGATGTCCGCTACTTTCTTCAAGTCATAAGTCCATCGTTCTATTACGGAGACTTCTACTTGCTTAAATTCAATATAAATTGGTTTGGGGCACTCGTAAGAAATCAATCATTTTAAGCGAGCTCTGGGTTTGTTGGATTGTTGGATTGTTTCTCTGCCATTTAAGCTTGGCTATTCTCTCTAAAAATATTCTACATCTCTCGGTCGGTTCCTATTTACATCACGCCCCCAGAGGAAACCTTCGGGGATTGATTGAACTCTAGAAAAATATTAGTACAGACCTTATTTCTAACTGGAATATAAATGAAATCTTAAGTCAAGGGAAGCAAATTGAATTTTACGGTTTGGGGCTTTCAGAACCGGTCACCTTTTCATCTTAATAAAAATGTAGATTGTAGTTCGGTGAACTTTTGCGTAAATTATTTGAGTTCTATTCAATGTATTTCATTGGACTTCTTAACCTTTCTTTCTATAAGGAACAAAATGTGATTTATCAACAGTGTATCTAATAATTCTGCTCGTTATCCTGTAGGCTACGTTTCACATACTTTGGTTGAAGTTTCCGGGTAATTGAAGAATATGTAAGTCTAAAAATTTTCAAAATGATTGCGCTTGCGCTTTAAAAATCGCATAAAATTCTTTTTGATATGCGTTAAGTGGATTAGTAGTGAATGACGTGTTGTCGATAATTAGTAGGAATATAAACCAAGATTTAATATGAAAGGACTACATTATTTTGTGATACAAGAAAGACGATCATAAAGTTCATTAACATCTAATTTAGATGCGCTGGCGATCTATTTCAGTGGCCTTTTTTACGGCTTTGTATATTTCTCATAAATCTTTAAAAGTTATTTTATATAGTCATATGCAAGTTGGTGGAATGGTAGAAATGTATGGCTAATAATCGTGGTTCTAGGTCGATCTAAAGGGACCAACATTTTTCTAATCAATTTATAATTATTCTGAAACATTTTGGACTTCGTCTGGAAATCTGGATGTTAAATGGGTCCGAATATCTCTGAACATTAAATATCGAAATGCCGACCGGGTCACGAACCACCGTCCACAGATGAAAAAGCCCTCAAGTTTAATCGTCTTTCGGACTCAGTCTGTGAATTTCTGAAGATCGATTGCCACGCATAGAGGTCGATAGTACAGCTTGTTACGATGTGAACCCCAAGTTTGCCTGTCTCCTCTATCATAAAAAATAGTAATTACTTTAGGCTTACCATAGATGTGCACATATAAGCTATTAGTCTCGAAAGTTTTGCAACCACCACCAAGTGGGTTAGGTTTTTTGCAGTATTTATTATGGAGAGCTTCACAAAGCTATTATGACTTAACGCAACCCACTCATTACTAAAATCGTGAGAACCACAGATCACTAACCTATTTATAATAGCCGGTTAGTTACCATAAGCACATAAGCCAAATCCCGTTCACGACAGATATATGAAAATATATCTGTGACAGTTTCACTAACTTAGTTAAAAAAACTCATTGAAGCAAATCACTTTAACGGTTTAAAACGCGATGTATATTAGTTAAACTTATTTGAAAATCATTTCTTCAATCCATTCAACCAGTAACATCGAGTAATTAAGGTCTAAAGTAAACATCATTTGGTCACTGAGTTCAATTTAGAACTCAATTTATTCGTACTATTGAAATGGAGGCTTATATGACTTCTGTAAACATCGTTAGTAAAGATTTCATTGTTGTTTCATTACGTATCACCCTTTATTATTTGATGATATGACTTAAAATCTCACTATTCACAGTAAACCTTTTTTTAATCAAATTGGACTATGGGTCTAGTTAGGTATATAAAAGTGGTCTACTAGAATTGAAAGAAATTATGAATCTTAAAAAGGTATAGTTCTCCAAATTTACTAGTAATACGTAGTTACAAATATCACAAAAATAGTAAAAATATATATCGTATATAAATAACAACAGATGTCAATATAATATCGAGTAAGTAGTAGACATTTAAATAAAATACTTTAAAATATACATAAGTTAAATTTGTTTGAACATTATTTAACTACGGCCCGACCTTTGGGATGCTTTGCAGCAGCCGTCGTCATGGAAACTAGTACTGCTAATAAAAATAGTTTAAGATTATCTGCCTTCTAACTGACGGAAATTGAATATTATAGTCAAAAGCCTAACACATTTCTCTTATGTTATCAAAAGGACTATATTTAAGTATTTATCCTTTAGATTTGTTTAAAAGCTAACACATTTGTGCTACATTTCGAAATTGCATTTCTTAGTGCTTCGCATGCTGAAAATTCAATATTTATGAAGCCAGGCTAAGTTTTATGAAGTCACTCATCGAGCTAGAATAATTAAGACAGCCGGGAAAACAGCCAGTTGAAAACCTAATTTTCTCCTTCGTAGATTTGCTAGGCGAGGGCTTAAATTAGACTCGGATGACTGCGAAAAAGCTTATTAATATATACTAATTAACAATAGAAAAATAAAACTTAAAGTGTAGCTTTACAAAACGATTAAACCGCGCGATACGATAAGATAACGATACATTTAATGTTTATAAAAGATACATTCTAGTTATTATTTTAAGTTTTTACATAGAAAATGAGATCGACAAAGTTTCTTGTTGACCTTGACCATCGTATTGCCTAGCATTGCGGTAAGTCCTGGGTTCGAATTCCGTGGAAACTAGTTTCGGTCGGGCAGAACACAGAAGTCTGATCAACTACTTGCCTGTAAGAGGCACGGTCAGTGAAACGGACACAGAAATGTGATTTCACTTTGAAAGTTTAAGCTTATTCTTAAATAGAATAACAATAAACGTAACTATTCTTGGGAAAGGCATCAAAACTCAATAAAGAACTAAAAGTAGCAGACCATAGAATCAATACCTTGAACTTTGAAGAGTCACGGAGCAATGTGCTCTTCTAAGCACGCGAGATAATTCCTATAGAACCTTCGACTTGCTTTTACGTTACTTTACCTTAGTCGTAGTTTTTAAGTGTACGTTAAACCGGTTTGTGTTGTTACTTTAAAAAAAGTCGCTTCGATTATTACCTAAAAACCACAGACAACACTTTAATACAGATTATTAATTCTAATGTAGATAAAATTTATAATCTATAAAATGTTATGACATTTTTAAAGGTCAATATGTGACACTATTTACAACTCAAAAGAAAAGCAAGTTTTAAATTCTTTATTTTTTACAGATCAACGATGTTAATTCCCACTTGTATGATAAAATTCTTGGAATTGGTACGTAAGTCACATTTGAAAATATAGTAACATTGTTATTATACATATATTTATGTATTATATACATCAGTCATTGGACTTAAACTCAAGATCAACTTAATATAACATAAAGCAATATTTTGTTTATAAAAAATGTGAATGATAATTAAATATCTTTAAAATCTCCTCCCTCGGGGAGTACGTTAAGCCGTCGGTCTCGGTTATCATAAATAATTTAGCGGCGGTAATCGTTAATGCCCGCGAACCCGGGTTTCTCGGAGTGGTCTAAGCTCCTAATACCTTCATTGATCGGAGAAGTATGCCCAGCTGTGGAACACCAATAGGAGAAATATAAAAATCTTATTTCAGATGATAACGATAGCGTGTCTCACGTTACACCACTACAGCTATGATTTGACAGACATACCCACACTTATGCTTTGCTCTGGGACGTATGTTGGCTATATTGTAGTGCTCTCTGGGGAAATCGTGGGTTTGTATGAATACATAATCATATGCTTCATTTTCAAGAGTTGGTTGTTAAAAGCTAGGTCAAACAATTTTGTAACACTTTTTGTCCAAAATGACAAGGGCAGGCGTAGCGTAGCAGTTAGTAGCTGAAATTTAAGTCTATTAATATTAATAGCTCGATGAAGTTTGTTAGACATTTTAAACTCCAAAATTACAGCGAAATATTGAGTGTTAGTCTGCCCAGGGGAAGGGAGGCATTTTCTTAATATAATTTCAGAGGTAACCTTTCAAATATTTTAATCTAAGCTTCACAGTGCAAACTTTGTTCATGTCACTGTTTCACAAACAAAAGCGAGAGGTACACATATAATAAAACTCTTTCAACGGTTTAAAACGCGAAAAAAAAATTTTTATTCTTAATGTTTCGTGTAATCAATAACGTAATACAGCAGGGGCTGAAAATAGTACATATATTATGATAACTACTTTGAGGTTTTATGAAATAATAACAGTTTTCTTTTAGGAGAGATTCTCTTAGCGCCATTGGACTTAGTGCAGGATATGTACTTTGGTTTGCTCGGCATGGGCTTGTTCGCTGTTAGTGGGGGCTTGGTTCTATCTGCCAGGACTAAAACCACCTTAATCCCTCGCACCGGGGACCACAATGTCGCCCTCTTCGCTGGCTCTTTAGCTGCACTAAATGCGATTGTAATGCTTTTCGACTTGAGTCTTGCTTATTTGGATTCAGAACAATATGACGATGACGCTAGTGTGTAAGTGGCATTCGTTCTAACAGTTATAAACTATCTGCGAGTTTACAGAAGATAAACTATTAACTGTAACTTCAGGAAGAACAGTATACAGTATATCCATATTTATTTATTATAGCTTTATTATTTATAACCCATATTACAGAATTAAACGCGAGAAAACATCTTACGTACTAACTTGTACATAAAAATGGCCTTATGGCTTTGCAGCGATCTCTTCCAGGCAAATCATGTTGCCAAGTTGTATATGTATAGAATAGAAAAAGACTTAAATATATTCTTCATTCGGTAGAAAGTGTACAATCTCATGATTACATACAAGACAGTTCTTAAACGTAGTTAAGAAATAAACACCTTAGCGCCTGATAAGTCAAAACGAACAATTTTGATTTATAAATATAGAACATATATATATTTGAAATGTTACTTCTGTAGAGAGAATTTCTCCTTACCCTGGGGTATAGGTATGTATCTTAAACTCACAACTCCAACACATTACTTAGTTGAAAGCTATATCTTAACGACTAAAAAAGTGGACATTTCTGTGCTGCAGTAATAGAATCAAAATTTGGAATTTAGTTAAGGGTTATTTAATTTTTTTAATGAGAATATTTATGATTCACATATGGGAATCCAACCGATCATCGCCAGCATACCATGTTGTTGTGCCAATTTATGTACGATGTATTTTGTATACGCCTGTAGATGCGAGCTTGCAAGCAATACGGTGGAATTAAGAATAAGGACAATTTTATAAGTGACCGTACTACATAGCATTGTTTGTGGGTACTATATTCTAAAGGAAATATTGTCTCTATTCTGAAAGATCAGGAGTTGAATTTAATAAAAAAGGACAATACATATAAATTAATATCTAAATTAAATTACAAAAATCAAAGAATCCTACTTTCTAATTATTAAGTATTTAATAACACAGCACACATAAATTCAAACAGGTAGTCTCCCTTCAAGCAAGTTGTCGGCACAAAATCAGTAGCGGACGCGCTTATATTTGTCACCACTCCTTCTTATTGCCTCATTTTGATGTCATCTCAGTATTCTTCTAATATTATGTATTTTATATATCTATGTGTTATTAGGTGAAGCGGTGTCCGCATCAGCAGATGCGTACATAGATGCGTGGTGGTCAGCCATCGGAGGTTTGCTCTTCGGTGCCTGTGGTGCCCTCACATTGCATGGCTGGAAAGATGTCCCTTTTTGCCAACGGAAGAACCATGCCCAGGCAGCTGCAGTATGCTCCTTAGCAGCAGCAGCCCTGATGTCCATTGACGCACTTATGGCGCTCTGCTCTGCAAATAAAGACGATATAAGCACCCGCTCTAAGTCCACTAGACGCGCTAGTCCATAATTATTGCCTGTTAAGTTAAATTCTTTTGAGGATAGTATGTTTTATTTGTGTACACACTGTTACTATTACAGTGTTTTTGTTATTAGAGTTGCCTGTCACAGAAATAAAATAGAAATTTAAAATTAAGCATAAGGTATTAATATTCTTATTAAATTTAGCAGATACATCTATACGCAAATCGATGTGTTATTTATAAGGGGATAGTTTTATACTGGAAACAAAAATCAACTTATCCTCGAATATAGTCTTACTAAAACTAGTAGCGACATCTATATTTAAATATCAAAAATAATGATTCCCGAAATGTTAAAGATGCTTATACTAGTTTACACATTGCTTGAAAGCAGTGTATAGGTGATTAACTAGATGTCGCTGTAAAAAAGTTTTGTAAAACAAACGGGTCGACAATTTTTATAAAATACATATTATATGTATATTTAGTAGAACCACCAACATCTATTTAAATAAGTTTATCTAATTTAGTCATTTTCAATCCCGCTCAATAACAGACCAACTATCGTTGCTAAGTTATCCCCGCAGGCGTCTATCGGATTCGGATTTACTTCTTGCCCCGTAAACAGCACGGACGAGTCTAAAGCCGGTCTTACCAGATCTTGTAGTTTGTACACTATAAATTTCCTAGAAATTATTTATAAGGCAAAACGACACTTGCCGGGTCAGCTATTAATATATTTTTCACAAGTAACTAATTCGGATATGAAGATAAACCTCTACCTTTTTTATTATTTTTTTTATTAAATTATATTTAATTACATGCTTACATATAAATAATTTTACATTTTACAGTTTTTTATAAGCTATGTATCAATTAAGCACAACGTTTGAGCTCACTTTAAATTATCATGTTTTGTGCTACGAATAGGCGTAACATTGTTTAGTTAATTAGTAGATACGTCTTATTTATGAGTCTATCTTGTAAATTTGATACAACCCGTGAAGGACGAATCGTTTAGGATGTAACACAAACTTTGATGAGTTAATTATTTTTCTGCGGTTGACAACAGATACGTAACTTACAAATGATTATCGCGTTCGATTAATATTGTTCTGATAAAATGTCTTCCAAGAATTATGTGTAAGCTTTAAATTTAATTATATTAATCGGTACTTTCTTTTCATTTGCTTAGATAGATAGATGAGTAATCGAATTTTTTTTAATCGATAGATATCTTATATCGACTTTCATGCTATATCTCGAATTACTTCCGAACAACGGGGGTGCCAACATTTATTGCCCTTAAAAATGCGTCGGCCATGACTTCAGAATTGCAGAGGACAAATATTTTAATGGATTATTTACAATGATAATTTTATTTATAGGAGCACTGTAAAGCATAACGTAACATTTAAAAATAGACAAAATTTTCTTATTATTTCTTACAACCGTTTCAACTTTTTACTAAATGTTTTAATCTTGGTTCGAACGAATAAAAAATAAAAGAGTATTCTCTACTAATATTTAAAGTGAAGAGTTTGTTCGTTTAAATGCGCTAATCTCAGGGGTACTGGTTAGTTTAAAAACAATCTTCATGGCCCATTTTTCAGGGAATATTTTAGGGTATAAAACATCTGACTGTGACCAATAGAAGCGTAGAAACAGAGGGAAATGTGGAAATAAAGGAAAAAGTGCACATCTCCGCTGCGTGTGCTGCGAAAACGGTTCGGGTATCGACGTTGTAGAAATGAAGTATATTTTTTTTAATAATTAAATTAAATGATGATAGTATATGTTTTGTTTTTAAGATAAATTTAGAAGAACTGTTGTCATGGTGATTAAATTGTGAAAAGAACGTTTGACATTTCAGCTAGTAGTATTATATAAAGGTGAAATTCTAAATTTGTTTATTAGTAAAAGCCAACACAAACAATAACTTACGCGATAAGTTAAATGACGTGTTTACCTTCCGCGCGCAATATTGCTTAAAACTCGACTTTTCAAACCTGTTATTATCATCAACCACTTGTCTTACTAAAATGTTGATTACTTTATCTATCTATCTATAAGTATATTAAGAAATTTCACTGTCTAAATACTTAGTACAAGAAAACACGATTTAGGGAGTTATTAATGCATTGCATATCGCGATATCTTAACACAGTTTTTTTTTAAATTTTGTTTTAGTATAATTTTTGAAGCATAAAATATATGAAGCTAGCAAATGATCTAATAAGAAAAACCAATTGATCCTTAACAAAATAGTTAGTAGAAAATATTCAATTTAGGTATTGAACTACGTATAAGAATAAGTAAATTCTAGCAATGTGAAACATGAAGGAATTACAACGTTTTGTTTAACTATTTATCGTCCGTGATTTAATACTACAAACAGCTTATATAATAAGATAGAAGAACACTGTATTAAAAGTATATACCTTAAAAAAACTATTGATTGAATAATTATTAATCTATAATAAAAAAAGTAATTTCTGAGTAGCGTTATTAAATATTAAGTAAGAAACTGTTAATGAACGTTTTTTGTAAAAGCTGTAATAAAAACGCTAACGAAATGTCTTGTTTATTCGTTATACTTAGTCACCCTGCTATGATCTCACCGGCCTTCGTCATGAGGGCATGGCGGCGCGACGCGAAAGAAGCGGTCCCGGGTCCTTGTATCAAATACAACTCTATCCACGAACAGTTGTATTTTTACTCGCGCAACGAATTCTCGTACGGATTGAATATAAACAAACAGTGAAAATGGCTATTAGCAGACTATCTATCATCAAATTCTTAGAGCTGGTAAGTGATACGCATATTTTATACTTATGTACGTAGAGGTTGTTCCGTTATAAACACAATTTGGTTTTGTTATGATTAAACTAACTTCAAAGAAGTACTATGTACAAATAAGGTAAGTAAATTAGGATTTAGAGGATAAAAGATAGATTTAATAGTTATTACGTAGATAATATGTATATGTAATAATGTGTAACGTACTGTGTTTGTTATTTTTAACTCCTTAATGGAGTGGGTATAATATTTCTGAATAAAATTACAATCGCAATTACAATTAGACTTAGGAATGGAATTGTTACTAACTTTTAACAGTATTTTTCCAAACTCTTCCACGTTTCTGAGTAAATCTTATATTTTTATTAATCAAAATAGGTACGGGCACAAAAATGAAGGTTTTGCGTTTTGAATTATATTTGTATTATTAATTATTGGGCGTTGGCCTTAATTAGTTGCCATATAAACCTTTGTGTGTACCTATACAATTTTATGAGGTAAGTACGTGAGAGGAACCATATTGTTCTAATTACTAACTACAAGAGACAAGCTAGGCTTCGCGATTGTTTGCTAAATTTTCAAAAAGTTATACCTAATTAATAATATTAAAGCAAGTTTATTTTCTTAGTATACTTATCATTTATTAAGTATAATAAATGCTTTATAACACTAATCCAATGTGCAAAGTACGTTAACTAAAAATAGATTCAATTTTCATATTTTTATAATCTATGAAACTATCTGTTATCTATAGTATTGATAATAGCACGTTAATCAATAAGCTAAATAAGGTACATTAATACCTAACACGAGGCTGCTAGGGCAAAACATACACATATACATACAAAAATATAATACATACATTTATATACAAAAATATCGAAGTTATGTACAAAATATCAAGGGACATTAAATCTTTTTATGGTTACGACTAGATAACGCGGTCTTTCGCAAGCCATATCTAATGTAAATCTATAAAAGCCGATGTGGATATGTCTGACCAATGACCATTGGATTTGGGTCACGGTGTTAAATCCTATCTTTTTATAACTTGTACCATCGTCAATCCCCTATTTTGGACAGTAGTATGACAATTTTTTTAGTGCAATTGTCTCTTGCAATAAAAAAGAACATTACAACAAGAACACTACTGCAGTGATGCGATACATAAGATATTCATGATAGAATAATAAGATATTACTTCAAAAATATAAAAAAAGTTTTCGTACAATAACATACCGTTAACTTACACAATATTTTTTTGTTATTTAATTATAATTGAAGCGATTGTAAACGTTAAGATCTTGTCTATTCTGTGGTATCTATATTTTGGTATTTTGAAATGTAAGTCGAAGTTTAGGCAGCTTCTAATAATTGGATTATTTGGCGAAGAAGGTTAGGATAGGTTATAGAAATATGTACAGATACATGCGTTACATTTATAAACTTAACTCTTCCGTTTGTGTGGTTTTGTGATGGGCATGTAATATGTCGGTATGATGTCAGCAACCTACGTTTTACGATAGACCATGACGTGTGGAATAAACTTCCTTACATGTACTTTTAAAAATCTTAAACACTTATGTTTTATTTACCGCCGCGGAAACACAGTTGTATACAATTTTTTTTCGTTAAATATGGTTGAATGAGGAGCAAGAAATCGGAATAGAAATCTGTCGTTTATTTCCCTGTTGCCAATAGAATTGAACAGAGAAACTATGTATGGGAAACGAGTCGAACTTTCATCTATACCCACTAATTTTAAAGTTAAAGGGTTTGTTTGTTTGAACGCGCTAAGCTGAGGAACTACTGGTTCGAATTGAAAAAATATTTTCGTGTTGAATAAAACCTTTAGATATGCGAATAGGAGCGAACAATTAGTGGAAAATGTGGAAAAAATTTTGAAAATTATTAATCGTTGAGGGTCAGCTAGTTACATATGTAATGCACATAGCTACAAAACGTAATTTATTACATATTTGTAAAACAATACAAATACGTCCGAATTTTATCTCAATTCCTACGCATTTGCAATTTGATTGTTTACTGTAGTTCAACCTTGAGTTTAGTTTTAGTACCCGTAATAATGGATATAAATACAGAATGATCGCATAGTCCCCTTTTTATCGTGCATTCAAGATCCACGCAATAGGCAAGTCGAATGTTGGCGATCATGTCTTCTTCAGATTAAAGTAAAAATTAAAAGTTAACTATTTGTGACTTTTCGGCTAAAAGTATCATTAAATTATATTTGAACTAAACTACTAAAAGACAATTTTAAAATCTGTGTATGAATTACTTTTTTTTTTATTTATTTACAGACATCGTTTTATTAAATTAACTACAACCGCTGCTTATACGTACCGGCAGTACCTTCAAAAATCTCTTTAAAATCCCCCTGCGTCTATCCGGCCTGTCCACCAACGAGTAGTGCGTATACTGTCATAAGTCGTTCGAGTATAGAGGTAACAGCTATATGGGACCGCGAATAAAGAAATATTCTTGATGTACCTACAGTGCTTTTCGAATACAAGTCTAGACTATTTAGTTTATGTCCTTTAAAATAACTGTTGGTCACGAAACAAGTGGATTTGTTGCTCATTAGTTGTTGATTATAGAGTGAAGGAATTACGTAATTTAACGTCTACCTATACTAATATATAAAGCTGAAGAGTTTGTTTGTTTGGACGCGGTAATCTCAGGAACTAGGTACTGGTTAGAATTGAAAAAATATTTTTGTGCTAGTTAGAACATTTATCGAGGAAGGCTATAGGCTATAAAACATCGCGCTATGTCTAACAGGAGCGAAGAAGCAGCGGGAATTGTAAAAAAACTGGGGAAATGTTTCAACTCTGTGGGCCTCCGATGCTTATGCTCCGAAAACGGTTCAAGATACCCAAAAAATAAGTATGAAAGAATGATTCTTTTTCAAATGATCAAAAAAATGTCCGCGACACTATATCTTTAAGATTAACTTTACTTATTTATTTATTTAACATTCATTCTCATGTATTAATTTTTTACACATTAAACATATTATATTAACACAAAAAAAGGCGTGAACTGAATTCACTCGATTTATTCTGTACTTTATCTGCATATCTTTCAGATAGCAAGAAAAATCTCATTTTGCAATTAGCTTTAGCTATTAAGCAATTATTAAAATCTCCATGGTTCAATAATTCACCGTTTACTCTATATGCTTACGTAGTTTACTTTGTAAATACAGGATAACAAGTTGATTCACGTCCTGTTTATGATCAAATAATTACAGTAAAGTGATGTAACGTAATAAGTCATCACTTATTGAATTACTAAACATATCTATGACCGCTTACGTAACTCGATGGCCGAATATGCTTAAAAGTTAAAATTTTTTGTAAATTTTTTTTAATACCGCCTCTATAGTTTACGCGAGTAGTCACATTTTAAAACACTTTAACGGCTTAAAACGCGATATATAGTTAAACTTATTTGAAAATGATTTTTAACTTCGGCCCGACGTTTCCCCGTGACCACGGGTGCTGCAAAGCATCCGAAACGTCGAGCCGAAGTTAAAAATCATTTTCAAATAAGTTTAACTAATATATCGCGTTTTAAAACGTTAAAGTGTTTTATTTAAATTTGTACTACTCGCGTAAACTATAGACAGTAATTAGCTTTATGGTGGACAGATATCGTTGCTCTACTAAATAAGATTGGCTACAGCGTGCTCGCTGTTGGTTGCGGGTTCGAATCCACTCATTATATATAATCCAATATGTATATTATAACATATGTAATTTTAAATATCGCAAGTGACTTGTAAAAATTATTTTTTATCGAGGCCGTTACCCCCATTAACAAAGGTTATTAAAGGTTTAATGAAATGTTTTTAACTCCAGCAAGGTCTCCGTCGCGATAGCCTCGTGACGTGACCTGCATTCGCTATTCCTATCATCCACACAATATGACATCACCTCTCCTTACCCGGTTAGCTGGGCCTTCGGACTAGTTTGTACTCATTGAAGCTATGTAATGGCTGAATTACATCATGTTTTATTTATAGGTCTTACACTTTACAATATGATATCCTTTCCTGTGTTAAATATGAGTAATAAGAACAATACTTGGTTTGTCTATTGGTTAGACAGCACCAAATTATGACATAACATGATTCGAGATTTAAAAGGCAAGCGAAATTATAGTTCTGTTTAGTGAGCATTGTTTACGCGGTATTACACATTTAAATTAAACATTTTTACCCGTTTAAAACGCGAAATATGCTAGTTAACTTATTTACAATTTATTTTGACTACGACCCGACGTTTTCACGACAGCGTCCCCGTGACCACGTCTGCTGTAAAGCAACTGAAGCGTCGGGCCGTAGAAGGTCGGTTTAAAGTGTTTTATTTAAATCTGTTTAGTATTTTATTTTAACTTCTAGTATCAAGTTTTGAAATAGTTGACATCACGGTCTTGCCGTGGAAAGCAAGTTGGCTGACAAATGGTTTACGTTATAAATTATATATTTTTTTTACTGTCTCATTCTGCATCATAATAATTCCTGTCTATCTGACTAAATCAAGAGTTATACTGTCAATATTTGTTATCCTAAAATATACTTATACCTAAAAATGTCTTATTTTTCAGGCGATAACATGTGCATGCGTAGCGTTACACTATCACAGTTACAATATTGACCCTGAAATCGGAATGCTGGTGACGGGAACCTTCATCGGTTACCTGATCATCTTTGCTGGTGCTGCTGCGGGTATGTGTATTTAAAATATTTACTTTAGCTAATTCCTACTACAATTTATCGTTTTGAAATTTATATCAATTCTCATATTTACTAACATTATAAAGCTAAAGCGTTACGTTGTTTGACAGCGCTAATCTCAGAAACCACTGGTTCAAATTAAAAAAATATTTGTGTTGGTTAGAGCCGTTATCGAGGAAAGCTTTAGGGTACAAAATATCACGCTGCCAATAGGCGAAGGAACAGTGGGAAGTGTGGAAAAAACGCGAATCTTTGAGGGTTTTTTATTTGCGAAAACGGTTTATGATACCCGATATGAAAGAATATGAAAGAATGATTATTCTTGAAACGATCTAAAAATGTATGCAACAGTATATGTTTTTTAAGAAAAACTTGCAAGAACTACGGGATACCACCCAAGTCGTGGGTAACAGCTAAAAATTATAAAGCTGTGGATGAGTTACAGGAGATTTGCAAAAACAAATTTTCATGGCCAAAATAACTAATCTAAGCGGTTGAAGTCCGGGGTACAGCTAGTTGAATAATAATCGCAAAGCTATATATTAATTTGAATTGTTATTAATTTCCAGGATACATAATGCAAACACCAAGTCACAAGCGTATTGATATCTTCTACTCGCTGATCGGTGTATGCCTCTTTGTAGCAAGTGGCGCCGTCATCATTGACAGGTACAGCTTACCAAATATTGATATAATATTAGGTAATCCCATTAATATTATAGTTTGTAACTCTTTCTCGCCGACCGATATTAACAATATTATGTTACTGTAGCTAACTCAAAAAAATTACGCACCTGCGGGTGACGAGGAATTCTAACGATATAATTTTTGACAGCGACAATTTTGTTTTAAAATACCAAATGTTTTTCACTGGATTGTAGTATAGAGTATTGTTAACTTGAAAAAATGGCTGATTTCAAACCATAGAGTATGATGACTAATCAAGATTTTATGTAAATTGTGTTTACAAAAAAAAACATGTTTAACAAAAATCATAAGTTAAAAAAATACACTTAATTGCCTACATGACATATATTTGAGTTAGTTTAAAGACTTTACTTCTTTTTTTAGAGAATTATAAAAATCAAAGTTTTTAGAATCTTATGTCAAGTGTTCAATAATAAATTAGAAAGATATTGGCTTCCCAAAATTCTATATAGTAATACATTTATTAGCAAGACATGTTAACACATGCCATATTGAACATCGGTATAATGAAATTATTTGTTTTGCATGACAGTAAAAAGACACTCAAATGTGTTTCATTAATTATATATGTATTATCCTCAGGTTCCAAAACGCATGGAAGGGTGACTTGAGGGACAAAAACCTTGCCAAAGCTTCACTGGCGATTATAAATGGTGCTCTTCTGCTTGTAGACGCCGTGTTGACACAACGCGGTGGCTAGAGGACGCTGTAATTAAGGGCTTAGGTTTAGAGTACTTCAAATTTCATTGTTTTATTTTACATCTTTAATACTATGAAAAGAAAACCTTTTGTGGTGATTAACATCTAATACTTGTTAAATTATTTTGCACAAATAGATATTTTTAAACGAGTTTAAATTTTAAGTTGTTTTTATAATTTTATATTTAGGGACACCTAAATGACTTGTCAAGAATAATGTTTCACTACCTCTGTATAAAATAACTGCCAATATCTTAATAAGATTGTTTCAACTTTAATTAATTCATAACGTAACAATATTTTAATTAGTACTAAAGTTGCTCCGATGTCTATTTTTAACATTGATTCTAGTATTAACATCTAATAGATGACATTTTGGTATTCCACGTAGTTGAAGGAGTTAAAGAATGTTATTTTTTTTGTTTTCAATATTTTTGGTTTGTTATGAAATATAACCCACCTACTGCATTCTGATATGAGAATATGTAGAACAATTTTAGGACACTGATAGCGAAGTATTTTATTTAATGGATTAACGCATGAGATAAGATATAATACCGCTTACAACTACCGACTGTCAATCGGTATCTATTTCTGTCCAATTACTTTAATCGTCTTTTACGCCAATGTTATTACTAATATATAATATTTATTGTTAATTTAAACAGTTGTACTGCACTCTTGTATAAGTTTTTAAGGTTTTTATTAAACTTTCTATCAAACCATTTTTAATCAGGGTTTTCTTATCTAACAATATAATACCTAAAAATACCTAAATCTTTAAACACAGGCTAGAAATATAAACGGTAAAACTTAGTGGTACAAAGTATTCCTAGAGATAGTTTTTAAAACAGTAGATAGAGCACAAGTCTACATTTTTATTTCATTTATCAAACGATATAATAATATTTCTACGCATCTTGTTACAACAATGTCTCTATAATAACACAATATTTTTGTGTATTTGCTCGTGTGAAAGCTTTTGAAATAAAGCATATATTTTCTTTAAGCAAATACACATGGCGTGAAGGTAATGTTATACATTTTCGTCTGTGCGCTGTAGGAGACTTAATGACGATAAAAATTTAGTCGGTCGCGATCGTGCCATGAAAATGATTACTTTTCATTTACTCACTTTATTAAGTTTATTTAACATGTATTCGTGTATCTCACCAAGTAATGAGATAGCCGCAGTCATAGCCAACAGAGAGTTTTCTTATAACTATCCTACTTCCATTGTTTACTTCAAAAGTGACCCTGAAAATGTATACGAATTTGCAAAAGCATACAGTGGGCTTATTTATATACTATCACTGAATGATTCTAAAACCAACGAAACGTTTTTGAGCAACGCGTTTGTTTTCGAACAAACAGTTATTTACGTTACGAGCGCTAATGAATTTGAATACTTCGTAAATATTGCGAATGGAGCGACTTTAGAACCAATGCGAATTATTTTAGTCTTATGTGGAATAGATGAGAGTAACATTACAGAATATACAACATCAGCATGGAAAAATGACGCAGCACATATTGTTATAGTGACTACGAATAAAAATGCTGATATTGTTCTATACACTTTTTTTCCCTACAGTGTAAGGACATGTAACGATATCACACCTGTGTCTATTCCAGTAGATAGTTTTAATTACTTTAATGAGAAGTTTAATAATTTTTACAAATGCCCCATTGTTGTCACGGCGCATACAATTATACCATATATAACTGTAAAGAAGGAAGACGAAGCAATATCAGTTACAGGATTTGATAATGATTTTGTACAAATCATCCTTGACCATTTAAACGCTACTACAGTATTAATAACTAATGATGGAGCTAAAGGAACGCAGTCGGCAAATGGAAGTTTGAAGATTGGATTTAATGATTTGATTAATAAAGTTGCGGATGTTATGATACCAGAAGTTATCATAACGAAGTCGAGATATTCTGCGGCTCTCGCGTCATTTCCCTTTAATTATATATCTGTAGTCTGGATTGCCCCGAAAAGACGGGAAGTGTATGCTTGGGCAAAATTAGTGTTACCGTTTATATCCCACATTACACCTTTGATCGTTTTATCCTTTTTTCTTTTCATAATTATTATAAGACTCATTCAGCGTTTTGGTGCACACCGAGAGAAAAAGCGAACGAGCGCTATATTGAGAAGTTTCGCCTTGTTCTTGGGGATCGAAACTAAAATTGAAACTAAGTGCTATTTAAACAATGCCACTTACTTAATATGGATATGGTACTGTTTCTTGATACGCACTGCCTATCAGAGTGATCTGATCAATGGTTTGCATAAAGTTACTTTAGAAGCACCCATTTGTACAGTTGACGATGCCCTCCAAAATCTTAACGAGATTGTAAGTTCAGAGGCTGTTAAAGAATTGTATACCAATACTTCTCTTGAAACAGTTATAATTGCTTTAGAACACCAGAAGTTGATTGAATACCTCAATGACATTGCTCATGGTAAAAGAGCTTTAGAAGCAGTTGATTTGTTGGCATTAACGAGTTCCCAATACAATGTTCAGGTTTTGGACGAAAACGCGGTACGTTTACCGGCATGTATTTTTATGAGGGCTCGCTGGCCAGCTGCACAGGTGTTCCGCCAAAGAGTGGTAACATTTTATGAACATGGCTTTGTTCATTGTCTTTATTTGTCATATTTAAATTCTTGGAAGAGAAAAAACGCGCACACGAAAGGTGCGATTCATAATGTAAATCCATTAGGATACCTAATTTTAGGTTCGTGTTTTTATGGACTTTTAGTTTTACATTTAGTTTGTTTTATCATATTTTGGATAGAAATTCTGTGGTTTAAACTACAAATAAGACGTCGGTCGAATCCTTAAAACATGGATTTGTTATATGAATGTTAGCTGCTCATATTGGAAAGATATACAAAAAAGATTAATACGTAGTAGTTTAAGAGCTTTTCTACTATTCAGATGGTAACTACCAATGATCGCAAACTGGTTTATGTATTTTAAAAAACTAAGATTGTGATTAATAGAAAATTACGCGCAACTTAACAATTAGCTTACTTCTTAATACGACACTTTTCGGTTTGTTTTACTTCTACTGTATAATAGGGGTATGTATGGTCACAATATATTTTAAATAAAAATAACGTAGATTTTTTTTTAATAAATAGGTATTTTATTTAATTTATGTTTCCCGAACAACAACTAACCATTATTAAACAAGTTTATGTAATTATACCAGGCTCCATCTTTCTTTCGAATGGAACAAATCATTATAATTTAAACCGAAGATCGGTTAAAATTATACTTTAAATTAAGATTCGATTTGTGTTTAAATAATCTTGGCCTATCCCTAATTTTCATTATGTGATTTACTACTACCTACTACCTACTGTACTACTTACCTATGGGATTTGAAACTTGCAAATTGGCTGTATTGGTATACATAAATTGTTTGTTTAATACTAAATACGCGTGAATGAAAACGGAAACCTTATCTCGTTCTAAAATAGCTAGTAAGGTCGCTTGATTGGCATCGTAGCAATTAACTTGATGTGTTTCAGATACAGCCATCAGTATAGGTCAATCGAATCTGTAGAAGCGATTCAATGTGAATCGATCGAAACTAATTAATATTAATATACTAGCTGTGTCTGTGACTTCGGCTGCGTACAGAGACTTAAATCAGCATGCTCAGCTTTTGAAGGAAGAAGTAAATTCTTTATATAGTGCATTGTGTTTACAAGTTGTTTACGTACATAAGCTTACATCCTATTAACCAATCTTCAATTAATTTTTAATCCGGGTATTAAAGTATTGCTAGTAAAATTTTTGGTTTGAATAAAGGAGTCTCATTAATAGATTTCCGGAGGGAGTGGGTAACACTCACATCAGAAACACAGATGACAAATTATTTGAAAATAATGTTTACGTTTGAATTTATTCTCTAAATAATGTGTTCCTAAACTTTATATTTTTATTACTATAAGTGAGTGAATAATTCATTACGTTTGTTTTTCTTCTAACAGATTATAAAAACAGTTGCTGTTATTTTTAATTTACATTGGCGCCATCTGCTTTTCTGCGTGGTAACTAAACCATTAGATACATGGTTCCTTAGCCATCAATATTTTGTAACAGTATTGCAAAAGAAAGGCCCAGGGCATCACACAACTTCACTCAATTTCACAGCCACTGTTTAGCCTCATGTACGAATTAACTGAGAAATATAAATAAATGTTTGAATAGTTTGAACTACATATGTAGTAAAAAACAATACAATCATTTAGTCATGACCACCGTAGCTAACATACGCGTGGTTCTAATAACTCAACCAGGACACATTTCCATTCAAATGAATTTTGTAGCGGTTCCTACTATCTGTACTACGTATCTTTAATAACCATAAATCTACAAATCGATTCGTAACAATTATTTATGGCATAGAAAAACGGATGAATTCAATTCCTTTCTAATTTTCACTTACATCCCTTGTATTTTTGATAGAGAATTTAATAACACCTACGATGTTATGTCCATGGCAGTAAAACTGTACTTAGATACTTAACTAAGAAAAGGTGGTAGTTAAATCAATATTAACCGTTTAAAAAGCGATCTTAAAATCAGCATAGTTTAACTTATAGGAGATCACCGTTAAATTGATGCATTTAAAACAGTATATTTGTAAATAAATAGTATTCTTTTTTTTGCGTTCGCTTGTCACACGTTTAGTCTAGGGTCCACTTAAGTCTTTCTCCAATTGCCATCTGAATCACATCAAATTTACAGCAACTAACTATTCCCGCGACTTCGTTCGCGTCGAATCTTTGGGCATCATTTTTTTTTTTTTGCAAATAACCTTATCAACTTTATATATTAAAGCTACCCCGACCCGTCTTCCTTGCGTCTTAATCTTAAAAGATACTGTACTTTCATAAAAGAAAACTAAAATAATCCTTTTATATTTTTTTTGTATGTTGAAACGTATATAGCACGTTTTAAACCGATTAAAGGTTTTTTAATCATTTTTTAATTCACACATGTAATTCCTGAGTTTCATCGCATCCAATTGGTCAAAGAAATAGACTTCATACGTTTAAATCATTGGTGTCGATAAATGGTACATTTGACCAACACTAATAGTTTATACATTTTTTGCAATTCAACACCTTAAAAGTTCACATGAGATGTAGGACGCGAGCTCAATTGGTAGAGCAAAAGAAATAAACTTGTTCAAGCCTCATTTATAATTTATTTTATTGTAATTTGATTGTACATTGTTAATTGTTAATTACCTTTTAATTTGTTATGTGTTTTTTCTTTTTTTTGTATGTGTCGTTAATCAGTCTTTGTAAATAGAAATCTTGAAGTGTAGCCATTGATGCAATGGATCCAGTGTCAGGCCGTAGCTCGGCAATTAAAACGCTTGGGGCGTCCCGTGGGAACTACCATCCGATCGAGTTATCGGCTTACATTTATCTACGCTAATTGTCCTTGTTAATTCTAATACATGTACGCTCATTTAAGAATCTATCCTGTTGATCTTACTACAGTCTCTATATCTTTATACGTTATTTTTCCGAACATAATTAACCTCAAATTAAATTTATTAAAAATCAATCACACAGATATTGAATTAAGTTTAATTTTAAATGTTACAAAATCTTGAACGTTTAGTTAAAAGATTTATAAATCCCTTATCTCATATTACAAGTTAAAACACCTTTAAATTTAGATGCCGTGGATTACATAAGAAATCTATTTTTCGGTAGCCGTAGTCAATTATTTTGACAGAGGAGAGAAAAGGGGCTAAGAGATGGACAGTAAAAGGTTTCAACTATGTGCTGTCGGGTTTTAGCGTAGAAGTAAGCAGACCTATAATATCGATAAGCCACCCTCAATGCATACCCCATTTGTAATATCGCGTCGTATCGGCTAAACAATGCCATCAAAGGCCTCGTGTCCAAGTGAATTGTGCCCGACTCCTATATGGCTGGTGATAAATTGTCCAGAAACAATAGAGCAGTTGCGATGCCGGGCGCGCCGTTGGACGTGCATAAATCTCTTGATGCACACCACGTTGTACAACACGCTATGTAAACGGAGGTAGATCCACGTCTAATCGTTTGCCAGAAGTCAAAACACGGTCGTTTAATTCGCAAACAAAATCAAAATCTATTTTCTATTCAATAAATACGATCTCACGAGCGGAACTTGAACCGGCATCTAGAGCTTTAAACAATTAACCTTTCGTGTTATTTCAATCCCAATAGATTTTTAGTTCATATCACGCAATCTTCTTCATTCGTTTACCTTTTGCTGCATGCACCCCTAGCCCAAAGTAATTAAACACTTGTTTTTAAATAAAAACGGATTAGCACATTGGTTTTTTTTTTTTTTATTTATTTTGTACACCAACACTAATATATAATACAATTTAAAAAAACATTTATTTTTAAAACCGTTATAACGGTTTCTTATCTTCTACTCGGGTCATATATACTCCAATATTAACTTATTTTAACTAAAATTAACTTAAAAATTAACAATACAAAAAAGGCAAACAATATAACATTATTACAAATAAAAACTAAATATAAAACTAAATATAAAACTAAATATAAAACTAGATATAAAACGGCTTAAGAATTGCCTTGCTTCTTCCCGGATCTTTTACTAGTTTAGCTCTATTTATAAGACTTTCCATCCTTTCAAACAGCAAGAATTATTTTGGTATCTGTAAGTTACAAGTGACAGTTGTAATGTACCTACTGTTACAATTTGTAACAGTTCATGTTCGTTCATAATCGACGTTTGTAGTTTAACTTCATATTTATTCAATATTATGTAATTATTTTTTCTTCTGCTTCATAATTCTGTGACGCATAAGAATATTTATTTATGTCTACTACGCATTTACCTTGAAAATTTCTTTTCACTACACTGTTTGAATAACTACACTAAATATTTTTTATGATAGAGTACAGACAAGCATGGCGTTAATTTGGTGGAAGGTGGAATAGCCCATCCATGTAACACTTAAGTAGGATAGTCTGTCGACCAATTTTAGCTTTAGATTTTTGGAAATCCACAGACTGAAAACGAAACGCGATTTTAAATCATGCCCCTTTTATCTGTTAGCCGTGGTCCGTGACCCGGACGGTTTCGACATTTCTAGCGCCCACTTAATGTCCCAATTTCGAGACGAAGTCGTGTTCAGTGTTTCAGAAAAATTATAAATTGGTTACAAACACGTCGGACCTGGTGGGAATCGAACCCACGACTGGTTGATTCGATTTGTTGTTTGCAACACACCAACGATCCCGACAAATGTAATTTTCGAAATCAAATAATTCATAAATTCAAACAATGTACCTACAGTTTAAAAGTTATATGCTTATATTAAAATCGAGCGTGTCTTTACAGCCATTACTTACAAATTGTGAGTAACTGAGAACAAATGTCGTCGGATTTCACGATAATTCCTCTTTGGCAGTACTCCTACCACCCTTTAATTATTCAAATATTCCATTTAATACAAGCTTTAATTCAAAGAACTTCTAAACGGTAATGTTTGTTCTTAATTAGAAAATCAGAATTTTGTGAAGGAACGGGTTTATTAAACGCTGGCGTTAAAAAACAATTGCTTTGTTTTGTTGAAGTCAAATCTTACAACAAGCAAATATAATTAAAATCTTTAGTTAAACAGACATATAAATGTAGTTAGTTATTGGAATACTTTGTCAAGATGTGCTATTATGGTGTTATGAAGAATCGTCCGTACTATAGTAGCTTTAGTAGTTTATAACACGTTGGTTTACCTAATTAGAAAGTCTTATAAATAGAGCTAAAATTGTCTATTCTATTAATCTAGCTTTTATTAGGCTATATTACACAATCTTATGTGTTATTTACGAGAAGAGGTACATGTAAAACAAAACACATTTAATAATTTAAAACGCGAAATATAAAAGGATCCGACCGACTACACATGACCACGGCTGCTAATATAATATCTCGCTTTCAATTATAGAGTTATAGTATTTAGTCTTTATTACGAAAATGGTGTAATTATATAACTACTATCGATAATTTTGGTGTGAAGTTAAACTGGCTCTATTACTCTTAATGTAATCTAGATTTTTTTAATACTCTTTTTTTATTTAGGTAGATAATATAAATTTATATAATAATATAGGTACTGCATTAAGTAATTGAAAATAAATTTAAGTTGGATTTTATAATTAGTGAAATGTAATCAATCAATTCATTAAGTCCTAATAATAGTACGATTCTAGTGAAATTCTTTTAAGCCCCGTGTAAATCTAAAATGTAAAGTGAAATTTTTCTCCGCTGTTATTTCAATGCAACATACGATCTATATTGGTCGTACAATATATGTACGATATATTCGAAATATTGTGCATAATACATCGTATATTTTACGCACGTATCTTCTTATTATTCTGAATAACACATGATTTTGATATTTTACAAAAATTTTCTCGGTAACGACCAAACCTATAGATTTTATGATTTAATATTTATATGTGAGAGGTTCTAAGTTCGATTCTAAAAATTAACGGGGTGTCATTAACTATACAGGTCATATCGCGTGCATAATACAATAAATAGATTATTTCAATATGCCAAACCCGAAAAATCTTTTTTTTTAACGAACCCTGAACTCAATTGCTGCACTTATTAATAACCTAGGTACAAAAATAATTTTAAAATCTTTAGTGTTGTGATTAATATAACGCCATCATGTGAAATGTGAAAAATATTAAAGTTTTCAAACATTTAAAGATGTGGACTGAACGTAAAAAAATATATTGCGTGAAACATAAAACTAAACATTTACGATTTACTGTTTACACAAACAGTTTAGACGTAAATAGCACTAGTTTCACATTAATAAACGAGATAACTGACGTAAAACTATAAAATGTTACGACAAATATTCGTATTCATATCTGTTTTTACGGCGAGCGGACACATCTCAATTTTATGCCGCCTTTAAGCGTAGATGTGGTCCACAATCCCTCTGTTTTGCGTACTTGATTTGGTAACAATTTGATTTCAGTGGACCGAGATACTTTTGAATAGAAAAACCTTTAGGCATCTTTAGTCTGTTAATATAAGCTTCAGTGCTTTAGAATCCATAACCAAATTAATGATTCTTTAATTTTACGTTTCTCAATATTATCTTTGTAAATAAGTAAAAATATAAAGGTATTAATACTTTTTAAATTATACTGAGAAACTTGAAACTAGGTTAGTTTTTGTCTATGGTTTTCTTGAGTTAATTTATAACAAGTTGTATCTGTAGATTATGCTTTTGGTAAACTTTAAAAGCACTTTGACTGTTTAAAACGCGAACTGTCTTATTCCATTTTAGTATTAATTAATGAAACGTTTTTAGTTCCATTCTTGACCGTAGCGGCCGCGCAATGCTTCAAAAAATTGTGTGCTATTTAGAAAATAAATAACTTAGAACTCTCAGTCAAAGACAGAAGAATCACTTAAAACGTAATGTAATTTTATGCTAAAATTAAAACTATATCAAAATATGTTTTATAATTTATTAACAACCAACAGAAACACGCAATCTATTCGAGTCTCGTTATCTTAAACACTTTAAAATTAAACACATTCAAACCATCCATAGGTACATCTTTGGCAAGTCTCTATTCAAAAAGCCTCCATTATTATTTTATTAGTAAATACAATGTAACAGAAGAGTCATAGAAAAGATGTTACCATTATTAAGATACTTAGTTTATTTATTTATTAGCAATATCATGTTAATATACTGAAAGCTCGAGAAAGGAGCTGTATAAATATTTTTTCAGGGTCTCCAAAACGATTTTGACAATATTGTCTCGTGGTATAACCATTATTTTAAGAACTTATAACAATAACAGTCACTCATATAGGATTTTTTTTCATGAGATCAAAACGCGAGACAACTGTTGAAACAAAAATAGAAAAATTCGCAATAATATAAACATAACAGAAATTGGAAATAAAATATAAATAATATTCATACGAATTGTCGAGTCGTAAACGAACAAAATGTCTGCTATAAAACGCTTATAATATAGATATAAAAGATATCACATATAGTCCTGTATAATAATGATATGTGTCTCCTTGAGCTTCGAGCTATGGTAACAGAATTCACAACGAAATTAAAAATAGCAAACGATACTATTAACTTAACCTAAAATTAAAAATTAATTTGCATTTCACTACAATTATGTACATTTTGCACTTATATTTAACAAGAGGTTTCAGAAAATTCAAAATATACAAACAAGACAATATATGTATGTTATAAAGTTGATAGATTTCAACTCCTAATAAATATAAATTACATTTTTTGGCATATTCATGGCTTATTTTTGAAATGGAATGGGGTCAAGGGCGGATCCAGATCAGATGGTCAATTGGTGATGGTTAAAGGTAATTTTTATTTCAATAGCTTTTGTCTCCTGCTGCAAACGCCTCTTGGTCAGTTTGACATTCTCTGACTTAAAATCTGGATCCGCCATTGAGTGGAGATGTTGCTGTCATCTGGAAACATTTGGACAATCTTTGGCACCAAAATCTTAAGTCCACCAAAGACTTGCATTGACATACTTAAAATTATTCATAGTCCGATACAGATTAGCGCGATACAAGATCGTACCGGAGTTCATCTGTATTTTGTAAAATTATTTATACGAGGAACTTTAATCTTCAAAAAAGATCTTACCGTGTTATTACTTAAATATCGGTTAAACATTGGGCTAAGTTATTCAAGTAAGCATAGCCATTCTGTACTTATGTTAGGTCTTTGTAGTCTACTTTAACAAGAAGATTATAGCTAAAAGCCCTTTTTATATTTTTTAAAGATAATTCTGCGCCCGATATTAAAAGTAAGTGATACATACAAAACAAAAACATATAACCTAGCAAAATGCATTGCACATAGTTTCCGACTATACAAGGGGAGTAATTCTTAACTAGGTGTCACAACACTTCGCCGACATCTCAAATTATTTATATGGAAATAAATATCGACGAGAATCTTATATCACCTTTTGAGGTTTGCCCCCTGAGACGTATTGAATCACGACATTGTACACTTTATCAACACTTCACTAAGTTCTCACTTAATTGCACCGGTCATACAATATCATTAAGTTCATTTTCTAGAGGGTTTTCTGCTTTTTCGACGCATTTTCGGATTGCGTCGAGGATGGTAACCATTCGTCGATCTAACGCCGTCAAATGAGGTTCCCACAGAATAGGCGATACGGGATCCGCTTTCATGGACTCTCGTAGAATGGATGATAAGGACACTCCGTTGTGATATCTAAAACAAATCAAAAATTGTTATAACTTTTTCTCATGGTTTGTGTAGTTATACATATATTAATAGGGCATAGTTGAATTTTATTTAAATAAAACAGTTTAGTGGTTTAAAACGACCTTATTTACTTACTTATTTGGTATAATAATTTGTAAGTAATGTAAACCTATATATTTCGCGTTTTAAACCGTTAAAGCGTTTTATTTAAATGTGTTCTACTCGCGTCAACTATTTATATTTAATTAATTTCAATTTGATTGACATATACACAGTAAGAAAGATTTAAAAAAATGATTGGTTGTAAGCTCTTCAAACAATTATTCAACTATAAAGAAGTTGTTAGAACTAACTTTAAAAGAACGGCCAGAGTCGTGTGTCGCACGAAACAGCATTGAAGCAACGGTGCCAGGATACTGAGCTCATCGTGGAACGCCTTCCCGAAAGCTCGTCCTTGGTCCAAATGCAGTGTGAATGTCTCATTGCCGAACATTCTGAAAGGAAATTCATATGGCATTTTAGTATTGAAAATATGACTGAAACTTTAATATTTTTTTACATACACATGCCATCATGTGGAAAATATTATAGTTTACAAACGTCTGAAGTTTTATCTTCCAAAATTTTCTTAAGCTGGAAAAACATAAGAAATTAAGCCATAACATGCAACTGTTAAAGTTGAAATTACATTACGCAATTGAAAAAAAATCGACGATGGCAAAAGCATGGATAGTATTCAAGGTTACCAGTTCAAATCCTGTCCGTATGATTTTTTTTTTAAAAAAATCGATTTTCATATTTTTTTACTAATTTAAATTTGTTTGATATTTTTTTAACATAAAGTGCTTTATGTTTTCGGTATTATTAAAACTAACTTGAATGTTTCGTAATGATGTCTGTCCATGTTGCCAGTTAAAAAATCGAATATGGACATATCCATCAGGTCTAGAAGTCTTCTTCCAGAGTCATATGGTGGAGTTGTACGCACCTGTAGATAACATTGTATTAGACAATTTATAAACGGAATTTAATTATGAAAATATTTGCTCTAAAGTCTTATTTAAATAAATTAACAAAATTACCAAGTGTTAGTTGACTTGCGCAGAAAGGGTACCACTTAAATATATCCGTAATAACATATGGAAAATATCACGTGTGTTGTAACTTTCTGTTTTTTTTTTAATTTGCTGCAGCAAAAAAGTAAACAAGAGTACCAAGTCTAATATTTAATGTACAATTGCAACTCATTGGAAAGCAGATTATGTCAGGCACATATACTTGGTTTTACTATAATCATAATTTTATTATGAAATTTCGTCTTTTAAACTTCACTATTTTACTATACCCCCACCAGTCTGAAAATCAGCGCTGCTGAGTGTGTAGCAGCACAGCTGACACTGGTACCGGCTGCCATATTTATCTGATTTATTATTTATATATTATATTATTAGGTAGTTCAGATTTACTGTACATGTGTTAAAAGGGCAATAAAAAGTTTACAATTTACCGTATCACAATAATCTGACTGCAGTTCCCACTGAGCTTTTCGGCGTTTGTGATAGGATCGTCTCCACGGGTGCCTCCACACCTAGAAACAAGATTTAAATAAAATAATCACCATCAGACTATTTACTACAGAACCACTATTCTTCACTACGGTGACCAAGTACGAGTTGGTACATGTCACATGCACAAGACTATAACCGAAGAGCACATGTCAGAGTGTGCTAAAAATTCATGTGCACGAGAATCGAACTCCTGATTTGTTAAGCACTTAGATGTATCAATGACTCTATTAAAATAGGTACATATTCGAGTCATCTCACTGATTTAATACTAAAACTTCGCTCCTAGTGTCGCTTGACCGACGCCGTTCACGTTTCGTCACGTCGTTCTTGCGAGTTAATCTTAAAAGGCGATATAGTAGTGTGGCGTACATTTTAAAATTATTTTTTAGTATCTTGAACCGTTATCGCACTACAATCAACGGAAACCCTCAAATATGCTGAAACCATCACAGAAATAATTTATCAATTCGCTTCAGTAATTCCTGAGCTCAGCACTTTCAAACAAACAAAATAATACTCCAGGTTTATAATATTAGTATTGACAATTATACCTTTCGTTCAGCTAAATCCGAGGAAGGCAGGAAAGCAGCGAAGCTTCCTTCCAGCATATCCGGGTTCCCGCATATCGCATGTCCTGTGTCGCAGTAGTACGAGCACTTCCCGTGGAAGCAGAAGTTGTTCGCTGGAGACACGAAGAACGTCTTCAGAATGTCTCCCTCGGTGACGTCATAAATCTCGGTGGTCATGTTTAGCACTCGGCCAACGACAGGCATGGCGCGACGAAAACCGAGGATCCTAAAAACAGTATTAACTACAATACTATTTTATTGATTCATTATTAATAGATGTAACAATGCAACAAAGTTTGACAAGTATTGTCTAATGGTAATAATGGCTTATAGTCAACGACTCGTGGGTTGATCCCCACTGGGTCCAACATGTTTTTGATCTTATATATGTATATATAATGTTTCTCAAATATGTTGGACTTTGTCTTGAAATCTGAATATAAAATGGGTGGTAGGAATATCGGAAATTCCCTCCAGATCACAAAGCACATCCACAAACGAAAAAACAAAGTATTTTAATCTCGTTTCGCTTTTAGTCTGTGGATTTCCGGATATCCAAAGCCAAAATGGGTCGTCAGCGCTACCTTGCTTAGATGTTATATGACTGAGATATTTTATCTTCTATTAAGTAAACCACATATTAGTTTGTCCTCCTTTATCATAAATGCTTACAAATAAGTTTGAACCTACGAGTGAAGGTTTGCTGTCTATGCTTCAATCTATCTACTAAGGTATATTCTTATAAATGTAAAACTTACCAGTTCAATGTTCACTTACAAATTTTAGATAATTCGGGAAATTTTAATTTCATTGTAGGTACATATCCTTTGTCAATAACAGACAATACATTTTTATCCAGTGTTCATAAAAGTTCAATTCCCGTAACACAAAAGTATGCCATTCGACATCCTAGTTATTTTTAATTTGAGTACGTTACAGTACAATTGAAATGTACACTCACAATTATTGTTTTGTTGGTGATTACTTTTTAACGGAATCTAAACTAACGATGTAAATTTTTAGCGATTGTCATTTGTTTCAATAAGTTCCCCTTTGCGTAAATTGAAATCATAAATAGTAACGATAGAACTAATTCCTATATTTACCATCCAAGACACACCACAGACGTATTATAAAATAAATGTAAAAAAAGGAAATCACGGTTAAAAAAGCTTGTCCATTAATAATATATATGTCTAGTTATAATGCGAAATATGTTCTCTTACCTGTCTAGATGAAACGCAGCAATTTCGGCATTATGTCTCTCATAATCCGAAAAATAGAAATGATTTGGTAACGTTTGCACGTCTCGGGCAAACCTGTGAACGAAAGTAGGTAATTTAAACAAAGATGAGAAAAAAAGTACTTCTTTAATTGTTAAATTAAAATACTTATATTAATGTGTCGTGCGTTATGTACATAATATAAGGCTTAAATACAATTTAAACGAGATTATAAGCAAATTTAATATTTCTCAAATATATCGTTACTTCAAAAGAGATTGTATAGATTAATGCGTCACTCGCCTATTGTCTATGCACTTGTAATGTCTGTTACAGCTACTTAAGAAATTCTTGGCATGATGTCTAGGAATGTACATACCTATGCATTTAAAACTTATGGATGGGTGAACTTCATAATAACTACCTAAGGTAACTTGTCAGTTCTTATCATCTTAATTTTGCAGCCAACTTTGGGTTTATCTCGTTGATTAGGTATACTTGAAATAATCTAATACTAATATAATAATAATATATAATAATAATAAAGTCTAATGTCCAAAATTGTAATAATGTAAGTTGTTTCAGTGTAGTTTCATTAGGTTATGAGGACGTTATATAATTATTGCCATTATATCAAAAGATGGCGATTTGAAGATAGCGCACGAACTTCGATCGAGTGTTCTGATTCGGATCAATATAATCTAATAACGTGCTTAAGGACCTATGTTTTAGAGTCTTTGAACTTAACTTTGTATGTTGTAACTGTGTTTTTGATAAATCAGTGAACTTACAAACGTATTTATAATTTGTATAGACTCTTCAATAAACCTCCAAGTTTTTACTTTCTTTTGCCACAAGGAATATTTTTATTGTAATACTGTACTCTATTTATTTTATTACAATAAATATATATTTTGTATTAAATTAAGCGTATTAAACCGTTCAAGTTTTTTTTTATTTGAAGACAGATGCTTCTTACACGACCACGTCGTAACCCTTCTATTATAAAAAAATATCTGTCTATATTCCAGTCCTAATGTTAACAAACTAGTTGATAAATGACTAGTTATATAAATGATTTTGTCTGTAGGTCATAGGTATTTAAGTGCTTATTTGGTGTACTTTTAAACAAAAGGTGCTAGACGAACGAGTTCAATATTACCACGGGTAACACAGAGTGTTAACTCTTTAAATAATACATTATTTACGATTAAAACAGAACCTCTAAAAGGACTGACATTAACTACACTAAAAACAAATGAAAGACATTGGAGGCCTAATTTGGTAGACAAATATATCACATAGTTTAAATGAATTATTAATATTTTCTCACTAGTAATAGTATCTTTACTGGATCTTTCTTAACAGTAATATTATATTTGGACTCTTGAATAATTGTTTACCATACGATATTTGTTGATCTATGCGTTATCGCCTATCGGGCACCTTCGATTAACTCCAAGATAAACCACCACCCATATAACTTATAAGAAAGGGTTATATCGACTGTCTTCAAATTTATCGTCCCTTAGCGAATCGGTACTGCATGGACACAGGCCTGAATTGTGCACGGGTTAGACCCAAGAGCTCATAGTTTATACTGTAAATCACTTGGAAGAAATAGCCCTCGATAGTTGTCTACGGTTCGCAGAATCGACCAACCATAATATTCTCTATAATAATATAACAATGTTTTTTCATGGATTTATTTTAATAAAAGCTTTTTCTGCTAGCTATACATATCAGTTATCAGCTATTTTTTACATATTGTCTATAGTAAACACGAGTGGTCCACATTACATCACGCTGCTCAAATAAACGAAGAACGTAAGGCTTCTAGTGTAATAAAACTTACTAATAAGTTTCGCGTTTTAAACTGTTTTTTACTCTACTTTATTTTGTATAGCGCCTTAAATTACTGTTTTCGAAATAGGCTCTTAGACTCTTAAATTATTAAATTTTGCTTTGAGCACACGACCATTGTTTAAAATTGACGAGCTTTGGATTGAAATTGGGTAAAATTGAATTTGGTTGGAATACCAAAAGTATGTGTCCTATACGTTAATCATATAATTATGTTTATATGTACTATCGCTGAGGACTTCTCATTTGATAATTTAAAGCTATTTAAATAAAAAACTTTAACGGTTTAAAACGCGATATATTAGTTAAACTTATTTGGAAATTATTTGTAACTTCGGCCCGACGTTTCGGATGCTTTGCAGCAGTCGTGGTCACGGGGAGACAGTTTTAAACCGTTAAAGTGTTTTATTTAAATGTGTACTACTCGCGTAAACTATAGACAGTATTTAATTTAAAACTATTTATTTAATATTCAATAACTGATAAATCACTAGTTGCAACACAGCAATACTTATTGAATGAACAATGGATTCGGTCACGTGATAACAATAGCACAAAGGGAACTTGGTAAAAACTCGCATTTTACTTCAATAACACTTGTAGTTGATAAAAGGCGTGCCTCTAAGCCGATCACGTGGGACTTACCAACTTGCCTGAATGGAACCGCACTACAAGTGACAACTTTCCTTTAGTCCTTACCAAGCACTCAAAACTATTCCAAGACCAAACTTCCCTACAGCGCTTATGCGTAGAAAAATACGGTCAGCCGAACAAAGAACTGATAAGGAGCTTCAGGAGTTTGTTGAATATGTATTCATTAATCAAAAGTTTTAATAACTAGGGCTAAAGAAACTTGCATTATTTTTTTTTTTTTATCCCAATTTCAATGCAGTTTTATAGTAGATGTCAGCGATAAAATGCAATTTTAAAGTTTTTTTTAATTAAACAGTAATTAATAAATTGTGTTAGGCTTTCACTGCCATCTTTCAGCATATCATTGTTTTTCGGGCTGTTCGGCCGACGTGAGCGAAAAGAGATTTTCTACGTTTCGCCATCACAAGCTAACATCTGATCATTCCAGGTGATGTTAGCTCCTCGATAGCTCGAAGAATTAATTAATTAACAATGATATGCGAAACAGTAATTGTTAGTAATAAGTTGTCAAAACCGAATAAACTATATCTATTTATATATTTTTGATGCAATATGATCCAACTGTATATATAGATAAAGTGCTTTAAATATTATCAACTCGTAGTATTCGGTTTTGCCAGTTGTTTAGTAACATTTACTGTATTACTAAAAATGTAGATACATAGCTATAAAGTAGTGCCTTCTACCTAATTTCGTAAAAAAACCTAGTTTTTATTGTATTCATTTGTTTCTGTTTTTTTTGGCCTAAAAAGATTGTCGATAGAAAGACATTGCAGTCTCGTTTATAGATTTTTAATTTATTTTAGTGTGTGTGAGGGCGACATCCTGTACTCACCTCATTGGTTTGAACAAAGCCTGCACCCCATTCGGATAGTCTATGATTAGCTTCAGTTGCGTGCCGCCTTCCTTTTGCTCTATAAAAAAGATAACCTTCAAATCACATTAACATTTAAGGTTAGGCTTGAAAGTTGTAATTCAATCGATCTAGCGCTGGAATAAATTAAACAATAATTACACCGTAACTAAAAATAAAGGATGGTCTACATGATAAAGTCGGTCCAACAATGAAATCCATTTAAGTGATTTAAATATTTAAGTCCAATTGGAAGTATAAGGGTGAGATTGTTGTGCCACTATTGTCCGTCCGACCGCTAACCCCACAACTGATTGCGGGACCGACTTCATTTAATATACATACCTTGCTTTAAGCTTTTGTACACGCTAGTGGACTGAGTCTAATGTACCCTATAGGCATAGATGCAATTAGAATATAATTTGGACCGAAACCGATTTTTGGACTGAAGGTTCCTTGACAGGAGAAGGAACTTGTCAGAAGAGTTTTGTGAATATTCTTAGCCTAAAATGTCAAGTGAATACAATGCTTGCTGGTTTATCATAAAAAAATAATAAAAAACGTTCTATAATTTACTTATCCAATATTTTAAAGGTAGAGTTGGTTTGTTTGGTTTGAACTATCATAAATAAAAACAACGATTCTATAATGTATTTAACTTATTTTAAAATGGTAGAGTTGCGTTTTAAACCGTTAAGTGTTTGAATTGCAAATACTAAATAATCTAAAAAATGTCCTCGACGGGGGGTATATGTCAATTTAATGAGATTAACTCGCAAAATGGACGGGATGCGGCCGTGACTAACAGCTATAATTGTTAGAAAGCTGTGGAGGTTTTTGCAAATATAAGTAATATGACGAACGAAAAACGTCGCGGACACTGCGAGTAATGTAGATAATTCGATAGACACTAAAAGAAATTCAATAATTTAGTTTTCTTTAAATATTGGACATCAGTATACACCATTTACAATTAAGTGTTAGATTTTATAGATCAGTCTAAATTAATTCTAATATAATAGACGAATAACTTGTTTCTGCTAGTCAAGTGATTGTAACATTTCGCAACGTGGTATAAAGTTGTTAACCTGCTTAAGGCATACCAACATTACCATTTCTGTCAATAAGAACAATATTATTCTATGAAATATTTTAGCTCGGCAAAGTAGGAAACAAGCACGTTTCAAAGCATAATATACAATCAAATAAAAAGTTAACTCCCACTGTACTAATTGAAATAAGCAGTAGAAACATTTTTGAGTCTGCATTGAATTTTGTTTACTATTTTTTATTTCTGCCCAACGCTTTATAGATTGTACTGGGATTCATACTTAGGACCTCTCGCTTAAAGCTTTGCTTAATCTGGCATAGTTTGCTTAGTTATAATTAGAATTTGCCTTATTAAAATAAGTTTACGTACCAACATGTAATATCGATGTAGTGGACATATCCTTCAAAATCGCTTCTACTAACTTCTCTCCATCTTCATACAACTCGTGCTGAGCAATTTTTAACTGGAACTTCTCTAAGTTTGAAGCGTTGAGACTGTAAACAAATGTAACTGTTATTTTGTTGTTTGTTTTGTTTATTGTAGTATTAGTGTTGACAGTCAATATGACATTTAAAAATGGCGGCTAGAGTTCCGATTAAATCCGGTTAGGAATATAAAACAACCAGAACAGACCACTCAGTACCACAGCACCTAAATTGATTCCTTGAATTGATCAACAAACAATGGGTATGTAACTAAACGACATTTACTAATATTATGTTTGTATATGTACATAAGTTATTTTGAAGAACGTTAGCGTTTAGTCTTATTAACTAAAAAAACACTGTTTAAATGAAAACAACATTGTATATTAAGAAAGAAAGTTTTTATTAATAGCTTCGTGTACGTTTTTTAGGTTTAAACAATAACAATTGTAATAAAAAATCTATAGATTATCTATAAGTTCCTGTTGCATATATGTGTATGATACGAAGATTTATTTAACTAATTCACATTACGGGCTTACAAAATTCTTAGAAACTATAAATACGTATTTTGTTTAGATCCTTTTTTGCATGTCGGAAGAGATCGCTATTATAGCTTTTATTCGAATAGCGTCATATATGTTGTAAAGAAAACAAATCAAGACAAGAAACCGGATAGTAATGTCCAAATTCTGTCAGTCAGAACCTACGATTTGGATTTCCGAATATCCAAGGACAAATTACATCGACTGCGAATCTTGTTTAGATTTAACAAGCAATCAAACGCAACCTAAAAAAACTAAACATCGTCCTTCTTGCCATTCAGCTGAAAGAGTAAGAGATTGTGTACCCTTTTGCGCGATCCTAATTATTTAATGTATGCCGATCTCCTTCTTTATTTATTTTTATTACTATTCTATTTTAGGCTTATTAAAGTCACATTTTTTTTTAATCCTTCGGAACTTTGGTTATAGGGAGCAGACTGAAAAACAGCGCTGTGCGATCCCCTAAGTACAGCATTCATCAGGTCTGAATCCTGACGTGCCACAACAACTTTAGCTTTAAGTATCCTGTTTGTAATTTTTAGTTTTGTTTTGTTTAAACAAATTAGTTTGATTTGTTTTAAACAAATTTCTCCATCTTTCTATACGAAGCTAGTTATCGCTCTCTTAAAACGGTCGTTAATCCGGTGATTTGCGAGAATATTTTCCAGCGGCGTGTTGGTTTTGGCTGCGTGGAACACATAAGCGCACGTGATTTGCCTACGATGCTCGGCCCACACTCCAGGCGACAGTGCGCGGGACCCCACTGAATACTAAGGAGCCCATGTTCCGCTCTCGATTTGTGGCATGTCCCGATAACCTGCATTTAGAAATCAAGCCGGCAGCTGCTTTAAAATTTATTGACTCTCTTTTCGGTGTGAATTGTATTCAAATCAAATGGGAATTGAGCACCGATTTGCAACGATTTAGAATTCTACATTGTCCATGCGATTAGCTGCTTTCTATGGCTTGAATATTTACTGCGATCCGACGTTGATGGTTAAGCTCTAAGCAGGAAAATGGATGGTATTACTACAACTATGATATATCTAATTCCATACAATGTAGCCTTTTGTATAGCTAAATGTATCTATTAGTCATACGTATATATCAAAACTATTACTATGCGTGACCACAAATTTCATTGCCCTTCCTACAACGTCATGAATAAAGCACCAACTTTGCACTTGCATTGCATACATAAGAAAGAGAAAGAGTCAAATTCTTTGTCGAAATTTAATTTGGGACTTGAAGTCTTATACATTTTTTACAAGAGCTATCATTATCCATATAAAGCTTCTCAATGTATCGATATTTTATTCCTCTTGCTATTTATTTGAAACAACAATTTAAGCAAAATAGGGGGTAGGAGATATTTTTTGTTAAGTGGCTCTTCTTTGATAATAAATTAGCCTATTTCCGTAAACACATCTCTGAAGGCGCACCTTATTACACATTCTTAAGCGTCATTTGTGAATAGGGTATAAAAAAAATAACGACAACCCTTTACAGGCGATACGTATAATGAGTTGCGCCATCATATCTGAAGAGGCGTTTGAGGAAGCCTCCTGCATTCATTCCATTTAGTTTTATTGTCAAAGACCCCGCGCCTATCTCGGCAGGGCACCGTAACAGGATTTTTAAATAAGATTCCTCGCAAAGCTTGTGAAATTTGCTTTACAAGATAAAAAAGGTCGCCTCTCCGTTACATATAGGTCGATCCCATCGTACAATGATATTATGATTCGTTTTTATAGACGTATCGAAGGAAATTCTTCCAAGACTAAAGTATAGGGATATAAAATAGTAAAGAATAGAGGCATGTTAGGGTTTTTCATTTCTTGCAGCGTCCCCTGAGATTTGGTCTGCCTATATTTACTTAAGTGAAATTACGTCAATGTGTGGCGACCAACCTGTTTGGCTTTAATGCATAGTTCAGCACTTGCCAGGGTATTCGCAGTGGATGAAAGAGCGAGCTTTTAGGACGAGCATAACTAGCTAAGCGTATTATTATGTATTATCGCTCATAAAAGTTTTAGCCCCTTTGGTACATTAACAAACGGTGTATATACTTATTACAAAGCCGAATAGTTAGTTTGTTTGAACACACTAATCTCAGGAACCACTGGTTCGAATTCATAATTATATTTGTGCTGGATAGACCATTTATCAACGAAAGCTGTATAATATAAGGCTGTGAGAAATAAGAGCAAAGAAACAGTGAATAATGTGGAAAAAAACGGGAAAATGTTTTCATCGTTGAAGGCTCCCGTTGCGAGCGTTGCGGAAACGGTTCACGATACCGAAACAATATGCATGTTAGAAAACAAATTGTAATAATAATTTTAAAATTAAATCCCGAGGACGACGAGTAACAGGTAAAATTTATAGAGCTGAGCTTGTTTGCAAAAATAAAACAAATAATGAACAAAATAACTATTTCACGTGGACGAAGTGGCGGGTGTAACTAGGTTAATTAAAGCATAATGTTATACCTAATAGTATATATCGCTACTGTTTAAGTATTTGCTATAATTTCTTTTCTTTACATCTTGCCGTAGGTTCGATCCGGCGTAAGATAATAAATAATATCAGACCGTCAGTTTATATATAGAATCAATCAGTGGGTCCGATTGAATGAGTAGTGAACCACTTATAACTAGTTAGACTTCGCATATAGTAATTTCTTTATTTATTAAATTTCATAATAAACAATTGACTATAATAATAAGTGGAATCGCTAAAACAAAGTCTGAAACAGTTTAATTCGGCAAGTCGACGAGCGCTACATAAATCGTACTTGTGGATGTCAGATGTCGGCAACTTTGGAAAATTTTCCTTGTAATGCATTTTGTAATGTCCTTTTCACGTCGTTATTCGAGGAACAATTTTAATTAATATTTCTTAACGTCTTTAAGCTCCTACGCCAGAAGCTAGACTATTTTGTCATATTTGTACCGTAATAAATTAATTTTCTGTCCGTGCTAATTGCGTCTAGTCCTCTTCGCGATAATATAAAAATGTTTATGAGTATTATGGGAAAAATATTTCTAGAGTTAATTAAATTGTAAATACTGTTAATTAAGTCGTGAACTTTACCTGACAATGAATGCTATCTTATAATCGCTAATTAAATGTTACAAAATGTTATCCTTATAACACAATAAGTATACACAATATGATTTAGATGTTTGAAGAAAATACAATTCGTAAAACAATCAATAGGTACTTAATCCCATTTTTTGAAAAAAGAAAACGGATAATTTAAACCACCAACCTGGGTTCCAAGTCCTCCATCTCACCGATAGTAGGATTCTCCGGACGTATTACATTGAGATCCTTATGTGGTGGTATTATAACGGCGTGATCAACTGATTTCCCCTGAATCTGGAGTAGTAATATTCTTTGGAGGTGTTCGAAGCGGTCCGCAGGTGGGCTTGGTGTTCGTGGCTCTGTATCCAAGCCGCTAGTTTCACTTGGCGCTGACTGCTCGAATTCCCGAGAACTATTACTGCCGTTACTGTTGACAAAATATAAAACGTTAGCAATTCCGTATCCTTTAATGACGTGGGATTTTAAAAAGATATGCCTTTATCTGTAATCCTACATAATCACAGTTATCTACACTTAAGTAGAGAATTCTGTCTAATCGAAATGATAGATATAAACTGGACAAGAACAGGGTGTGAACATGAGACCATGGTAGGAAATTTACTAGATAATTTTGCTACATGGGGGTTTAGTTATAAACCCGATAAAAATTAAAAAATGACATATATTTTAATTTTTATCGATCGGTTTTCATAAAGCTATCTTCAACTTCTTTGTATGTTCGCTACTTATAAATACACAAATATATACTTGTAAGTTATTTCTCAGCTAATTTAATCTGGATATCCAAAGCCGAAATAGGTCGATAACGCATCTTGTGTAGATTAAATGGCTGGGGTATATCACCTCCCATCAAGTGAACCTTGTGCGTATCTGTCCTACTCTATATCTCAAAAATTAAAAAAAATAGTCTTGTGTAAGGGTTACTTGTGTAAATTTCAAATAATTGTATCAAGAACATCTTTAGCCCAAGAACAGTACAGACAAGTACCTTATTTACCATTAGGTAAGCGTCTTATTGCGTTGCTACGGTGGAAGCCCTCGTTACCAAGTATTTATCATCCTAAAAACTTGAAATTAATTTAAGCCTTCTAAATTTACAAGTACCTTTAGTATGATAAGGTTTATTCCATTATTGTTATGGTAAAATGGTATAAGTGGCAATTGAAGTCAGAATGGGTTCAAATATAACGATTCTATTCGGAAATTGATTGTTAGCTTACTTAAGGTAAAATAGATTCAAAATTTTCTTGTAGCTAGAAACAGCTTCATTACACTATCATAGACAAACAGAGACTGCATAAGCAATTTTATGTCCTACTTTATTCTGTATTTTGCTTACGAAACATGTACAGTGAAAATAACAGAACGTTTTCATGGATAAATAAATATCTTTGTATGATAGAGCATAGGGTGAACATGATGTAACTGAAGTACCCCAGCCATAAACACCTCAGAGATGCATTGCCGAGCTTTTTTTGATTGGGTGTTTGAAAATTTAATGACTAGAACCGAAATGCGGATAAGCTGGAGGCCTTTTTCATCTGTGGACAGTGATTCGTGACGTGGACGGAATTTCGATATCCCTACCACTCATGTTATATTCAGATTTCCAAACGACGGTAGTAATCAAACCCACCATTACTAGTTTTACATACTACCATCACATCAACGCGCATAAGTCCTTTAAACGTTACTTACACACGTACATAAGCACTATTTAATATACTCTTAACCACTTTACATTGAAAAGGGAATTCTAAAAAAATCTTGACGTTATAAAGTGAGTATTTGTATATGTCCTCAAAGTTTGTGCTCGTGTTATAAAGGTTGACAGCTTTTGTATAAAGAACAATACATTAATTAATTTGTCACCGCATCGGCTGGATAAATACTAAAAGTAAACGAAATATGAGTATGCCATTCAATGCTTTCATGTCGTGGACAGTGCCTGTATGTAAAGCACAATAGACAATTAACTTGTGAAAAATCGTGAAAAAGCAGAAGCATTGCCACAAAAAAATGAATCTGTGCCTCAGTAAACGTCTAGAATTCTGTTACACCCTGGTTAGTCGAAATGAGAAATCTTAAAATTAATAAGATAAAATATAGTTTATCTGCCCGTTCGTCGTGTTTTTACAGAGTGTTCAAAAGAGCAACATAACCGAGAAGAAAACCCAAGAAACTCAGTCCGGCATTTTTTACCATGTCTTATAAAATAATACATGGTGTGAATTTATTAAGGAGTAATTTATATTACTGCCAGGCGGTCTTGTCATTAAAGAAACCGTTCATACAATAATACGCCGTTTGAGACAATCTAACTTTTATAACTTTTTAAATTTATTTTTCGATAAATTTGAAACCTCAAGTGACAAAGTATTATACATACTAATGCAATTCCACGCAAATGAATTAGTTATTTGTGCCGATCGTGCAGAGTGCAGGATCTTGATCTTTAAAAAATAATAATAAAAGAATAGATAAACAGATTCTAAAATGTGTCTGCCCCACTCCCTCATCGAAGAGACGACATTTCACGTTGACTCCAAAACGTAGGTAATGTAAATAACTTTCACAGTCCAGTGAAAATTACGTAAGAAAGTGTAATCTGTTGCCTTTTGACTGTTATGTTATTAAATACTGTCTATAGTTTACGCGAGTAGTACAAATTTAAATAAAAAGGCTGCTGCAAAGCATCCGAAACGTCGGGCCGAAGTTAAAAATCATTTCCAAATAAGTTTAACTAATATATCGCGTTTTAAACCGTTAAAGCGTGTTCTGTTATTACTAGCTGTGTCAGCGACTTCGTCCGCGTAGAATAGTTATTTAAGGTGTTACCCACGACGTCGTTGGTCGCGTCGTTCTTGCAAGTTAATCTTAAAAGATAGACAGACATATGATATGACATAGACATATATTCGATATGTCTGTCGAATGATGAATAATTTTCACATTTCTCTCTGTATCTTCGCTTGTATTAGTCACAAGGCGATGTTTTTTAGCTTGTAGCCTTCCTGCTCTTAGCAATACAAAAATAATTTTCCAATTCGAACCCGTAGTTCCATTTTCCGCGTTCAAACATTCAAAAAACTAACAAGCAAACTCTTCAGCTGTATACATTAGTATAGATCAATTCTTGCGTTTATCGTAAATTCTGTTTAACAAAATAATTCAAAGATATATCCAAATAGCGTCGTATTTTTAAAAACTGACCGTTGTGATCAGAACTACTTCGCCTCTTGAAATATGAGCAAATAGAAAATCGTCACAGATTGGCTTCCGACGGCAAACATTAGTGTCGTTGTAGCAAATATTGAGGCACAACCAATATCATATTACAGTTCATAACTACTTACTCTGTGTTATTAAACACTATGTGCTTTATAAATTCCTATCGATATGTTGTTCCTGTATTCCACTTGGAAATTCCAATTTGCTTAATTAAACTAAGATATTTGTAATGTATATAAAACATTTTTAGGGTTTTAGACGCCTAATATTTGTTTATTTATTTTTAACTGTCACACGACGTTTCGGATGCTGTACAGCAAAAGCAAAGTTAGATCTGCTAGATTCCGTTGTGTCGAGCACAAATGGACCATCTTCACCATCCACGATCTTGGATTCGGCCCCTTGTCTCCTGACCTGACAGCTAAAGAACATTCTGACACATCCGGTTTCAGTAAAATAATTTAACTAGTTTTTAAAAGAATTTTAAAAGTGTTTTATTGAATTTGTTACTCGTGCCAACTACAGATTACATTTATTAATAACGTTTCCTTTAATTTTTCCTCAATAATAAGGATCTAAGATGGACGCGAGCACCATTTGGCATGGCACAAGCGCCGTGGGCATAACCTATTGAGCTCACATAGCATATTTATAAAATGTAACAATGTGAAAAATGCCATCTTTAATAAAATATTTTATTATTATGATGTTAATCTTTTAACCAGAGTGCTCAGTGGTTGAACGAAAGCGATTGTTGAAACTCTATAAGGCTCTGTAGGCAAGCACACCAGAACTACTTTCCTATAAGTGAAATGGTTCAATGAAACGGACACAGACTAATGTCTGCGCCTTGCTACACTTAAGGGAACCACTTCGGACTACATACACTACTAGAGTTACTTGTGAACCCGGGACTGCTACGGTTAAAAACTACCTATTTAATGTTTTATTGCATTACCTACTGCAAATATCTATACAGTCGCTTAAAACTATAATATATTTTCAATACAATTAATTTTTAATTGTGTTCAAATTAAATAAGATTTTTAAAATTCGGTGTTAGCCTACATTTGTTTACAATAATATTGATTCCTAAATAACTTGTTATGGATTACCTATTAGATAACATATCAGACAATCATAATATTTATTTATAATACTGAATTTTTGATAAGTCGATAAAGAGTTATAACTGATAAGAATGATAGTCCCAAAAACTTTTTAAAGTGATAGATAGATACAATTATTATAGATAAATTTATCAGATTATGAGTAAATGTATTAGTTTACGTTGATCAGGTCAATCCCATTTTGAGGTAGTAAAAAAACAATATTTTCATATTTTAATAACAAAAATTAAGATAGGTAATATGTCCTACTGTACATATTATAACTGTTATATCTAATAATTGATTTTAGACACAGTATACAATTAAATGTCCATTATGTACGTAAATCAACTTCCTAGAAACTGCACATCTGTCTACCTACTATGATAAGATTGGCGTTATTGTAACAAACACGATAAATAACTAATTAGTAGTCAAAAAGCGCGCTGTGTTCTGTATTGTACATTTAAAAGGAAGTATTGACGAACACAATTGATATAAAAAATAGGAGTAAATAGCTGGCTCGTTTGGCTATTAGGAACATAGTGTTGTGTGTTGTGGTACCCCACAATAAGAGGCTAATGAATTGTGTTATCTTAAAAGACGCTGTCAAACCAGTAAACATGTGATAACAAATGATAACTGATGAACAATATTATCCTCTCGAACTGAGCTAAATTTTACGAGTTTAACCCATTTTAAATAAAGAGTAATATAATATTGAAGCGGACGGCATTTATTAAGTTATGTAAATGCCGTAATAATAAAAAATCAATTAATAATAATAATAATAAAAATTCCCTCCCTTTAACGGTTTAAAACGCGATATATTAGTTAAACCTACTTGAAAATTATTTTAACTACAGCCCGACGTTTCAGATGCTTTGCAGCAGCTGTAGTCACGGGGAGACTACATAATTTTAAAATAAGATTTAGATTTTTTTAATATTTTATTGAAATGTGTACTATTCGCGTAAACTAGAGGCAGTATAAAATAATCTCATACCAGAAATCCAAGAAAATCCACTAGTCACAAACACATCTCACCTTCGCTGAAGAAACCGCTTCCGAAACTCGATGTACGCTGAATTTCCTTTATCCACATCGTCCACAATCTTGACCCTGCCGTGCAACGGGACTCTGTGGCCCGATATGCCATAGTCCATTTGGAGATCCACTATCAGCATCAGCGTGAATAGGATGAGGAAGGCACTGACGGCCAGCGCCAGACGCTCCTTAAGCTTCATATTGAACATGGTGCGCGCGGTCTGACGGCGCGGTGTGGTGGCACTGCGCGCATCCTCCGGTGTGGGCGATCGCTTGCAGTCGCGTACGCACGACGAGCGCCAATGGAGCCAGCGCGCGCGCACCCAACCGCTGACACTGCAACATTATCACTAGTTATCAATGCCAATCGAGCGTCTGCACGAGACACGATATAAAGCTCTTTTCATACCACGCAATAAGATTATAGTTTGGATCCTTTTTTTATTTTGCGCATGTTATTAACTTAATAGTTACTACATAAAAAAGTTTAAAAATCGAATTTAGATTGAAAAAAAATTAGGCACAGGAAGTTTTATGCATTAATGAGACTTCTCTTTATGTTTAAGTTTAGTATTAGTACCATTCATTAAGAGTGCTGGAAGAGAGCAATAGTTTCTGTGTGAAAAAAAAAAAAAGCTTCGTACTATATGTAACCATGTTACATACATAACATATGTCTTTTGCGCTTATTATCAAAAACCTACTACAACATAATACAGAACCTCTTAGTAATAATATTAGATAACAACTTGTGACCGATTACCCTATAAATACAAATTGAGTCAAGAAACTAAGGATAAACCCAGAAAAGAACCACACTGATAAACGACTAACCCACTTGTATGTATTTGTATGACCATAATTATTATATATTATTAAGGTCGTTGCGTAGAGGAGTGACATAAGACAGTAATTTTTTTAACCCTAAGTAGTTTGTCAGTCCTACTGTGATTAGTAAACTGGAAAGTTTTTTAGAATGTTGGTAACTGATAATAATATCATGTTGCACATAGTAAAAAGATTTTTAATAAGGTATTCACAGTGTTGTCTATGGTAAATCGCTTCTTTAGCACACTTTTAAACCGCCTGTCTACCTGATAAAGTTGTGAAATTAAATTATTTCAAAGTAACAGCAATATGTAGCTCCTACGTTAGTTGAATGTTTCGTGTAAATAGCGAATAGAATGGTGAAGTGTAAACGTCCTTTGTGTTAATTCCTATCAAATGTCAGAAACGTGACATTTTTAAAGCAAACCAGTGCAAAGTGAAATACCAAGGAAACGTGGTTAATGTTTCTACAATAACCCTCTATTATACACGGCTTACTCTCAGAACAGCAAAGTTAAAACCTTTCTCATTCTTCTCAACTGCATAAGAATTTTATTCAGTTTTAATGAAACTTTCTGTTTGATGGAAGTATTTGTTTGAGGCTTTCATTTAAGGCGTACAACTTTAGCTTGTACAATATATTTACTCTTCGGTCAAGTAAATCGTAATATAAACTTATTAATAAAATATTATTTCATTCAGACATGGAAAGGATCTAAAACGTTAGGTCTTACATAAAGATAAATGACTAATATATTACACATATGAAACTGTTTAATTTGACTTATACAATGTATACCATTAATTTAACTACAGATAATAATAAATATGTGTAATGTTGTTGTCTTATATATTTATTTGAAGATAGTCATCATGCAGAAAAAGGAATTTCTTTCATCATACCATTCTTTCTCACAATCAAGTAAAGAAAACACTATGACTAAAAGACTATGAAAATAAGTAGATTGAAACTCAGGCGTAAGTAAATCTGTATGTCGTGTTGTAAAAAATGTTCAACACACTTTTTCCTTACGACAGAAACTGCAATGCTAAAAGTTGAATTATAATAATAGAGCTTGAATTGAGTTTGATAAAACTGACTGATATTGTTTTATCCTTTCAATTTTGAATACGATTGCAGTTTGCACAAGCTCGAGAAGCCCTAAAACTCGACAACTTGTTTATTAAAACGAAAGGTCACGCAAAGTGCGCGTGTGAAAGATAACTAGAAATTCATGATCGTGATTCATGACAATGTTGTAAAATATTCCATAATTAACGAATGTACATATCTAGAAGTCAGAAACACACGGTACATAATTAAATAAAGAAAACTCTCAAACGAACTTTACGAATTGATAAGTTTCTGTCAAAAAGCAGAAGATTTTAGGTATAAAAAATTGACAAAAATAAAAATGTTTAATAGCAAATCATATGAAAAAATGGCACTATTGTGTGATTCTTAATAATAAGTTGATAGTTAAATCTGAACGAGTATATGTATAAATTTCAAGAAAACATGAGTTCTAAAATAAGTCTAGACTACACAATGTTACAAAGATTACTTAGCGTGACAAAACAAGAAAAATCATCAAAAGTTTATTCGAATTTTATAACGGTTGTAAATTTGGTTGACTTGTACGATTTATTGTAAATAATTTAATAGACAAATCATTCAATATTTCACAAAGAAGGGTTAAAAGTTATTATTCCAACTCGGTATTAATTACAAAATTACACTAATTAAACTTGACAAGCAATGCGCATTTATCGTATACTTTCTCATGGTTAAATAGTTCGAGTCCATAGAAATAATGATAAATTAATTGATTTAAATTATCCAATTGGTCCTTTAGGAGAATAATTGTGAGAGATTTATTATTTTTCTGCAGGAGAAACTTACTTATTTTTAAAAATTTAAAAAGTTATTTGTTTAAAATAGTAATATTACGACAGTCACTAAGATGATTTTATAATTTTCAAAGTACACGCGAAAGGTAAAAGGGTCTGACAAACGATTACATTTCATGAATGGTTGTTTTTATAAAATCGAAGAAAACATGTTTTTCCGAGGATGATGCAAGTATTTTCGACCGGCGCATTGTTCCAATTTTAACCACCCAGTCGTTGGTCTGAGCCCCTCGGTCCCAGTACATTTGAAATTATCAATTCTGGATATAAAATTGATGGTAGGAAAATAAATGTTCAATCCGGGTCACGGACCACCGTTCACAGACGGAAAGTAAGTGTTAAAAATCGAAAAACCGTTTTGTTTTGAGTTTGTGAATTTCCAAAAGGCGAAACAGTTCGACAGCGTACCTCTATTTCATGTTATAAAACTGAAAGATGTTCAAGAGATATTTCATCTACATGCATATAAAAACGTCCTCCTGCCGTAAATTTTTGTTACTAAGTCTGTATTTATAACTACGTAGACGTTGATTAAAAGATTAAAATTATCAATTATTTTAACGAACCTAGACAATCCCAGATGCCAAAAAAATATATAATTGAAGAAGCAACCTTTTCGCAAATAATGCACATCCGTTTCCTTCGTACTTTTAATTGCTTAATATATTGCTTCCTCCACTCAATTATATACCATTGATATGCAACTGCAAGTACAAACTCTGCTAAAGATTTAAGTAAAAAATAAATTAGTAAAAGGAAATACATAACTCAAAATCATGACATGCATAAAGACCTAAAAACTCTACAATGTTGAATTTAATCTCTATATTTACAAATATATATATATATATATATATATATATATATTTTAAATAAAAATCTACAAGACCCGACCCGTGTCATAATTTTTTTCAATCCAAATTAATTTTTAATTTGGTACAAGTATTTTGAATAAAACACTAATTAAGGGTTTTAAAACACGATATATATTAGACTTATTTGATTTTTGTTTAAACTACCGCCGGGCGTTTTTTGCTGACTGGGAGACATGCGGGGTCTCCCCAAGACAACGGCTGCTGCAAAGCGTACGAAACGTCGGGCCGTAGTTAAAAAAAATCGAATCAGTCAAATCATTAACTAATATATACCGGGTTTTAAACCGTTAAAGTGTTTTACTACTCGCGTAAACTACAGATTTATTTTTGCTTTTATATCAACTACTACAACCTATCTAGGTAGTTCTATTGATATTAGTTGCAGATAAAATAAAAGATGACCCAAATTGGTTCTACACAATATTTTTTTCTAAACACACCAGGCGCAATCAAGTCTCAATCTTATCAAAAAAGAAAGATAAAAGACTGGTAAACACTGCCGTAACAGGTAAATGGTTATTTTAATTGTGTTTCGTTTTCGTTGACTAATTAAGACCGATGCGCTGAAAACTTATATAAATCAACGAAGGCTTCATATCGTGCTACAAATTGGATAATTGGAGTCTTTTTGTTTCCCTTGTATCGTTTGCATGCGAGCCTGAAGTAGGTACGTGGAGTGTGTTCCACAAATTCAGCAAACATTTTGACGTTGCGTTTACGTTTTTATATTGTATTCGTTTCGATTGGATATGCAGCGATTTTATGTTTTTAATTCTTTAACGATGTCTGATTTTCATGTTCCGAAATCCGATAAGTTAAAAACCTCTATTAATCAACATCGCTTCGGTTGTTCGAACCGCAAAATTTTGTTAGGAATTTAGAAACGCATTTTAACTAGAACGTGTTTATTATTTTATTGGTTTATTTATAGAAGGCTTACCAACTACATACATAATTAAACTTACAACATCTATTTCCAATAATTCTTGTTACTTATGTATCTAACGTCAAAGTATGCACTACTTTAACTAAATGTTGTATTATTTTAATTATTGTATGTGTAGATTTAAGTCTGTAGTTTACATACATATTTAAATAAAACACGGTAAAATTTTAACGGTTTAAAACGTGAAATATGTTAGTTGACTTATATACGGTTTGAGTGGACTAGGTTTTTTATACCTGAAATAAACTTACAGTGAACTAAATTATCTTTAATACCACGTGTATTTATCTAGTTATTGTATTAGTAGTAGACCGAACGTTAAATTTACATCCGTCAATTTAGTGTCACGGGACCTAGATACCACGGGACACTCAATTGGTGGTGCCAGTTTTATAACAAATAACTATACCGAATCAGTAATATTTATGTAGGTAATCTTTACGTAATGATCGTGGTTTCAAATCCTACCTGTGTTATTACTGTTACTTTACCTCCCTTAAGTTTTGCACAATTTAACGCATAACGCCACGGCAAGATGGTTAATATTAAATCCTATAAATAAAAAATTGATTATAATCTAAAAATAAAATCACGACTCGGGCAGGACGTAAAGTGGCATCCTCAAGCATCGAGCTGACTCGGTAGCTCAGTTGGTTAGAGCAACAGCGCGGAACGCTGAGAATGTCGGGTCGATTCTTGCCCCAGTCGTAATTTTATTTTCTAATTTTAATTTTTATAGTGCAATCATGTGCAATGAAAACATGTGGAAAAATATT